AAAAAAAAAAAAAAAATGTAAAATAAATAAAAAGAAAAACATAATGGGCTGAAATTATATATGAAAATCTTAGCTGGACGGTGGTAGTGTGTGCCTTTAATCCCAGCACTTGGGAGGCAGAGGCAGGTAAATCTCTGTAAGTTCAAGTCCAGCCTGGTCTACAAAGGAAGTTCAAGGACAGCCAGGGGCGTTACACAACACAGAGAAACCCTGTCTCAACAACACCAACAGCAACAACAAAAATCTTAGTTGCATGTTCATTAAAACAGGTAAAATAAATATAGCTGACTTAAAATAGAGATCAGCAATTTTTTTTTTCTGTGAAAAATCAAGACTCTATGAGCTATCTGGTCACTCTTGGGACTACTCCATTCTGCCATTGTTCACAAAAAGGTACGGACACAGCTGGGTTCCACTAAAATAGGAACTACAGTCTATATGTCATGGAGTGATGTCTTTTTTTTTTTTCCCAACTATTTTAAAATATAAAAGAGCTAGAGTTGTGGTTCAGAGGAAAAACACCTGCCTACCTTGTGCAAAGCCCTGTTTTCAAACTCCAGCATAATTTTTTTTTTTCCAAATAAAGTGAACAACTGGTGGTGGTGGTGGTGGTGGTGGTGGTGGTGGTGGTGGTGGTGGTGGTGGTGGTACATGCCTTTAATCCCAGCACTGAGGAGGCAGAGGCAGGAGGAACTCTGAGTTCAAGGCCAGCCTGATCTACACATCAAGTTCTAGGATAACCAGGGCTACAAAGAAAAATGCTGTCTCGAAAAGACATAGATCATAAAAAGTAGAAGTCAAACCATATTTTTACTTCATAGGTCACAACATAACAGGCCCTAGAATCAAACTCATAGTCTAGTTTCTCCTCATATCATAGAAAGCATTTATCTTCTATTATATGATCAAAACTCACAAGATCAGTTTTAATTAGAAATTATAAAGAATAAAAACTCTTTTTAAATAAGAAGCACTTTCATGAGACCAAACCTTTTCAAGAAAAATACAAAACTCTCTTAACAAACTACATTCCTATTTTCACATTTAAAGATAAAATACAAAACTCTCTTAACAAACTACATTCCTATTTTCACATTTAAAGATAAAATCTATATATTTTTACCATAATTCAAACTACAGATTCCAAAAAGAAGTCCTTTACAAAGCACAACAGATATATATAACTGTATGAACCAGATTTTTACTAAAAAGACTAATTTAAAATTCAAATTTCACTTGCATTTTTATTTGCTACACCTGATATCTTTGGTGTTATCATGAAAGAACATTCTCACTTGAGCTGGTAGCATAACTTAGTACTGCCCACATGAAGAGTAGGCATTATCAAAATTATAGACACTTGTCTTCCACATCTGGGAAATATGAAATATACACTTCTCACTCTTATAACTCTCCCATGAAATACAATAAATCCTCTTTGCTATGAAAAAATTGTATTTCTTTGTATGAAAAATAGTATTAAATAGTATTATTCATTGCAGCAGATAAGAATCCTAAATGGTCAGCAATAAGAATCCAGAATTAACCAAACAATTGCAAATGATGAAGCTGTTAAAATAAATAGGAGTTTTTTCCTCAGTTACAAGATTAGCTACAAGCTCTACTATCCAGTAAAAGAAACACAAAACTGTAAAGGGAAAACATTTTATTTATTTATTTATTTGTTTGATTGTTTATTTATTTATTTATTTTGGTTTTTCGAGACAGGGTTTCTCTATGTAGTTTTGGTGCCTGTCCGGGATCTCAGTCTGTAGACCAGGCTGGCCTCGAACTCACAAAGATCTGCCTGGCTCTGCCTCCCGAGTGCTGGGATTAAAGGCGTGCGCCACCACTAACTGGCAGGAAAACATTTTAAATTCATTGTTTTATGTATATATGCATAAGCAACACAGGTGGTTTCACCCCATAAAACTATTACCATGCTTTGTGTGTCTGTCAGAAGCAAGAGAAGAGGAGGAAAGGGAGATTTAAGGAGGCATGACACATTACAGAAAAGAAATGTCTTATTGACAAATAAATATACAATGTAAATGTGTTTTTCAAAAAAAAAATATGTATACACCTATTATTATAAAATATTTTTTGAAGCAGAAAAATATTTTTAGTTGATGATTCTTGAATTCATCCCTCAGCATCACCAAGATGGGTCATGAGGGATGTTGACCTTGCTGCATGTTTTCCAGTAAGTACTGGGTTGTGGGGAAACTTTTAAATGACTTAAAAGTAGTAAAGGGCACATTAAGACTGGTAGGAAGAAAGAGACCTTTCAATTAGTTTGAAATATCTTAATTCTTAGAGAAATAAACATGTCAGGAGGACATACCTTGATCCATTCTGTTTTGTCTACAAATTTGGCAGCCAATTTTTCTGGATACACTGACACAGCTTCCAATAGACAGTACATGACTGGCAAACCTAAATAAGAATCAGAACCATTTTAACTTTCGGGAAAAAGAATGAATATACAAAAATCCCTAAATTTCCCTCAAATGTAATGCTACTGCTTAAACACAAATTCTAGTCTAAAAGTGGAAAAATTAAATTCTAAATATAGAACTCAATTCAGTTATCAAAAGGATGCCCTGCTCTTCATCTGCATTTCCAAAGATGTATCTACATTAACACTTGTTTCTGAAATGAAAAATATATCAAGGATAAGTCAGGTAGGTTTAGAAAGTAAACAATGGCTAATGTTTAGTTACAGAATCAAGAAAGTTAGAATAGATTTGCAGTAAACTCTTAGCAGTCTAAAATTTAATTTTTTAATATTTTTTCTTTTTCTTTTTTTTCTATTTTTATTGAATTTGCTTTTTGACAATTTCACATATTATATATATTATATTCTGATCAGTGTAACCCCCCAACTCTCTATTTATTTCTCTCTCATCCCTATTATTGCACATACACATATAACCACTTCCTACTTACAAGTCCCTTTCCCAAATTAGTATCTTTTTATTACATTTTGAGACACAATGAGTTTAACCAGAGTCATCTGTGTGACCATGGGTTTGTAACCTATCCATTGGAGTCAGATGTGAAAATACTCAAGATTAAGGTAAAATTAGGTTTAATTGCTTTAATACTTTTTCTTAGTATGATGAAGTTCCTACCTCCAACCCCTGCTAATAGCTGTTGAAGCAGGCCAATGTAGATCTGAACAGGGTTGGTCTCTCCACTCTTATTAGAAGATGAAGCTGTCGCCTGGCTGCTTGACATTAACGTCCGAATGTACCGTCCAATGGCTGGAGCATGATCTTGCATATCAGCCAAACTCTGAGAGGTGGGCACCACTCCTGCACTATGAGCCAGGCACATGCGCAAGTACAGGACTATCTAAACCAGAAGGAGGAGAATTACCAACTTCCTAAAAAGTCAAGTGTGGAGGCGTCTTCCTCAAAGTGACAATTTTCAGTTTTCACTTCCCCACCCTCCTTCATATAACATTACAAAATCTTAATGGAAGCTAGGAAGCAGGACTCAATATGCTAACTAAATTAACATAATTTAACAAAAGGTGTAACAAGATTTCACTAATCCAGATGTGGTTTTTTAGTGAAAGTAAAAGGCTTGACTATCTTTTCTTCTTCATGCTGGGATTGAAAGGAGGCTGTATCCTTCAGACACTAAGCATACATTCTACCAAGGAGCTACACCCCTAGCCATCTTACTTTTTTTTTATTTTTATTTATTTATTTTTTATTTTTTTTGGGGGGGGGGGTTCAAGACAGGGTTTCTCTGTGTAGCTTTGCGCCTTTCCTGGAACTTGCTCTGTAATCCAGGCTGGCCTCGAACTCACAGAGATCCGCCTGGCTCGGCCTCCCGAGTGCTGGGATTATAGGCATACACCACCACTGCCCAGCCATCTTCTTACTCTAAGAAGATTATTAGTAATTTAATTGGTGCAAATCAGTAATTTAAAACATAAAATCTACTTTAGATGTGATAAATTAATCCTCTCAATAAACGTGATAAATCTTCTCTTGCCTTCTAACTTACAACCCCTAGGAATTTCAACAGTATGTGGCTTTAAAGTCAAGTCTAACTTGCTACTAAAGCCCAGCAAGAACCAATGAAGAGCACCTTGTTCTATCATAGAGACTGTTCCTAGGGACTGGGAATCTGGAGGTGTGACTCAGCAGTACTTGTCTGCCATTTCTAAGGCCCCAGGTTTGATTCAGGTACAGGGGTTGGGGGTGAATAGGGAACCTCAGTGAGTTAACTACGAATTAAAACAAAACAAATTACCAAATATTAAGCCTTGTTTTTCAAAACAAACACCCTAAAAGAACAATGATCCATAATACGAGTTTACTATAAAGCAAAGGCTCACACACAGCTTAGCATGATGTTAGTTTTCATAGCCATTACAGAAAGACACAAAAGTCCTACCTCTCCAAATGCTGCTGGGTTAAATGGAAGGACAGTAGTTCCAGTCATGTATTTGACTGGAGTTTTCATTCGATGGGAAGCCTAACAAAAATAAGCACAAAACAAATTAAATTTTTGGAAATAAATTGTTCTCTTATTAAGCTGAAAATAACTGTACTTCTAGCTTTATTGCTATTGTTGATTTGTATTTGTCTTCCAGGTTTTTGAGTTTTGGGATTTTTTTAGGTTATTTTACTGTATGTATATGGGTGTTTGCCTGAATGTGTGTCTGTATATCATATTCATGCAGTGTCTGTAGAGGCCAGAAGAGGACATCATATCCCCTGGAACTGGAGCTACACAAGGTTGTGAACCATCATGTGGATTCTAGGAATCAAACCAGGTCCTATTAAAGAAAAGCCAGTGCTCTTAACTCCTGAGCCATCTCTCCAGCCCCTTTCATTTGACTTACTTTTATTTATGTATATGCAATATGCATGCTTTGTCTGAATGTATCTAAGTGTACCATTTGCATGCACAACCCTTGGGGGCCAGAAGAAAGTGTCAGATCCACTGGAACTGTAGTTACAACGACTGTGAGGCATCATGTGGACGCTGGGAACCAAACCCTGGTCAGCTGCAAGAGAGCAAATGCTCTTAACTGCTAAGCCTCAACAGCCCTACAGATTTATTTGTATCATTTTAAATTATGTGAATACATCGTATCTGGGTGTGGGTGTATGTACAGGAGTGCAGGACCCCACAGAGGACAGATGCATTGGATCCCCTGGAGCTGTAACCACAGACAGTTGTACACAGGTCCTAGGAATCAAATTCAGGTCAACTACAAGAGCAATATATGCTCCTAACCACTTAGCTACCTCTCCATCTCATGCATTTGTCTTTTCTAAACAAAACATCTTTTCTTTTCTTCTAAACAAAACAAAAAACAGCTACCTACATATGTCTTTTCTAAACATTGTTCTGCTGCCTATGTTCCTCACACTCAAAATGATAGCCTCTAACATAATGAAAACAACACCAATGTAAAAAGTGGGAGTGTCAGTGCTGAGCATTACTACTGCCAGTGCTGACTGAGCTGCAGAAACACTGCAGAGATCTGCAAAAGAATATGCAATAATAATAGTGGAAAAACCCCAACTGCTCTAAAGCAGTTACATTGATGACAACTGGTGCCCTTAAGGAGGGACTAGAACTAGCAAAACAAGAAAACTCAATCTTTTTAAAGATATGTTTTTAACTATGTCATCCCAAAGGAAAATTTTTTGAACATACTCAAATGCTGACAAGCATTAAAAGAATTATAAATCATTCATATTTAAGCTAAACAAATCAATTGTATGTAGGAATTTTTCTCTCTCCTTTCTTTGTAGCTCCCTCTTACTGTAAATACTATGATACCATTTAATATTTAATTATTGCATTTTTACTTTTAAAATGTTCATTTTTATTTCCATCAACTATCATATGTTTTACCTATACTAACCTACCTTTTCTTGAATGTAATATACCATTTCTGGAAAAGATGGCATCTGCTTAGAAGTGCTTTCCTTTTTGTTTCTACCAGGAAGACATCGTAATACACGTTGTGCTTCGCCATGGACTTCTTCTCGTCTTTTAGAAAGACAAATAAGAATTAAAAATAAACTTTGCCAACTGGACAGTCATCACTTGAAGAAGAATGGAAACAGAAATTTTATTTGACAGCTAGAGTTCTGACAAAATGTCCTGGGTACATTTTTGGCTAGATAAGCAATAAATAAATACAAAGTAAAAAAAAAAAAAAAAGACAACCTCTTGGTGATTTAATGAAATCAGGAGACTTGGCTTACATCTTTAACTTTTACTCCCGAGGAATAAACAAAACAGATTAGTTACTGCGATTCATTATGTAAATATCTATTTGTATGCTTTATTCTTATTAAAACTAAAACACAAATAACTACAACACACATTAAAACTCAGTAGTGTCCTGTGTTCTATATACCCACCTCAATTCTGACACTTCTTGGTAGTTTGTCTACAATTCTACAAAAACTGGTAAATGAATGGCATTAATACATACAACTATAAAACCTACTCTATACAGATTCAGAACACCTGAAAATGACCTCCCAGCTCTGCTTCTATATCCCAAAAGTCTTCTCAGAATTCCTCCACTGCCTCTGACCTGGTCCTGAATTCCTAAGAGCACCTTATAGAGTGACAGGAAGGAACAAGCCAGCAAAGCCTTGAACTGCCAGAGGATTTCTCACTTGAACAGAACCATTTTTATAAACTAAAAAACGGGAAATACTGAATTAGTCGTGTGTTGGGTTTTGTGGTGTAAATAAAAATACTAAGTTCCTGGATTGAAATCTTGTTCTAACATCAATTGATTGCTACCTTAGTTCACAGATACTAGGATATGTGGCATGTAGTTAAAAAACTTAAGGTAGGGGGAAAAAACAGGTCAACAAAAACAAGATTAACAATCCAAAACCACTGGAGCCAAATTGAAATGCAAATGAATAAGAAGAAAATCAAGATCAGAAATCGAAAGCCAGCAAACTTAGTTAAAATATCATAGCAAAATATACAATTCATACTGAAGGGAGATATCAAACAGTTATCAACTAACTTCCCATATTTTTTCTTAAACAGACCACCAAGTTTATGGAAAGGATATTCAAATGATAAAAGGAAGCTTAATTTTATTTAGAGCTCCACGATAAATAAAATTTTAAAACATAATAATCTTAAGAAGTGATTAATACAAAAATCATATATTATGGCAGATATTAGAGTACTTCACACATGTTAAGTTGTCAATGACTATGAAAGAGATAATAAGTTTGCTAAATTTGTTATAATATGCACACATATATTTTACTATATTTACATAATGGCTTAAGATCATTTTTCAATTTTAGAAATATTTAAATGATGAAAAAAAGGTGCCCCATTAGTGTATTAGGTAGCACATTAGTCACATTAAAAATACACTTTAGAATTGCAGTAATGTAATTCACTAGTGTATATATATGCAAACTTCACTTTAAAATCTTAACATTAGATACAAAATGATATTCCATCAACAAAATGTAATATTACAATATGTATATTGAGCAATCAAAGACATTAATTTTTTTTCTTTTCTCCTATATAAGACCTCTCTATATAATTATATATCTAAGTATATTATTTATACAATTATGAGGTTTACTTTATTTACATTTGACTATTTCATAAGAATTTTTCTATCTATATTATCTATTTGTCATATATTATAGATATACATGCTAATTCAATATATAAATATATAGTTATATGACTATAGGTCACCTGAAAGGATACACTTTTAACTCTTAATAAATTACTTCTAAATTTCATAAGCCAACTTTGCAACTAACATAAATTTTAGTAATTTTAAAATATACTTAATTAATTGAAATTCAAATTGACATCTTTTTAAACTTACGGGTCTCCTGCGGCTAGTAGGAGCAAGTATCTGGAAGGTATATGATCTGAGGGAAACACCGTGCTGGCAAATTTCACCGCAACTTGCCGAACTTGAACTTCAGGCTATTGAACACACACACACAAAAACAGACATCCACACCCCCCCCCCAAAAAAAGAATTCAATTATCAGCATCTCAATCCAGTCCTAAGTCAACCTAGTTTTACACAATTCAAATATGACATATCAATAAACACATGCCTAAACCAATAAAAATCAAGACACGTTCAATAGCTCTCTTTTGGGAGGACAACGAATGCTGGAGATAGAACTCAGGGCCTCACACACTATGCACAAGCTCTACCACTCAACTAGACCAGTAGCCCTATTTAAGATCTCCAATCATGCTGCTCAGAAGTCTTTGACATTACTTAATGAGCACTTTTATGAGCTAAAAGGATCTTGCAAATAGATCAAAGATGCACAAAGATCCGAGCTAGAAAGAATTTCTCAGTACATACACATTTCTAGTCCAAACTTGAAGCCAAGGTCATCCTGAGGTTTTCATCACTATCTTTGCCTCCCCAACTTTTATTATTATTATTTTTTTCTTTTTTGGTTTTTCGAGACAGGGTTTCTCTGTGTAGCTTTGCGCCTTTCCTGGAACTCACTTGGTAGCCCAGGCTGGCCTCGAACTCACAGAGATCCGCCTGGCTCTGCCTCCCGAGTGCTGGGATTAAAGGCGTGCGCCACCACCGCCCGGCTAGCCTCCCCAACTTTTAAACCCTTAGTCACACAAGTGAAATTCAGATGTTTTGCAAGAAATAGAATCTGACCTTACTTACTATACTTTTGCAACAAAAATACATCTTTCTCAAGTTTGTTCTGAAGTTAATAATGACTTGAGAGCAGAAACTCAACTATGCAACTATACTCCCTTAATTTAGATTAATAACTTATGAAATTGACCAGTTTGAGAATTTACCGATGCTGAAGATTTACTTTTATGTACCTTCCCCCAATATATTCCTCTAGTCACAAACCTAAGTGAAATATGTGAGAAAATAAGAAATATATGCCTTATTCTTCTGGAATTCATGCTATTTACATTCCCTGAGCTACAAAAAGAATATTAAAGGCTAGTTTAAATTATGTAATTTAACCTAAGGTTTGGTTGCATTAAAAGTAGTCTATGAAAACAAAATAAATTATCTTTGGCTTGGTAATACTGCTACATGTTTTCATTTATGTGAGGAGAATCAGTATCTACAAGGCATTCCACATCCATCACTTTTGCTCATAAGGTTATCTAGAAAAATTTCAAGTGTACTATTCTAATGAACTTCCAGATAGGTCTAAGTCATTCCTTATAAGATCATTAATCACATAAAAAAGACCCCAGGAGCATTTGAAATCAGGAATCTAAATGTATATAATGGTACAATTTGCTCTTCATATTTCAATAGACACCAGATGCTTTTGTGAACCTCTAAGAATTCCATCACATGACTATATCATGTCAGCCTAATTTAAGAAAAACACATTTGTTAATCTCACCAGTATTTTTGCATAATTACCTTTCCCAAACTCCTCTATTTCTAGAAATGGAGGACAAAGAACTAATTAAGGCAAATATTCAATGTTTTATTATTTATTACATGTTTTATATATATGCATATATATATATACATGTGCTTGTAGATTATATATATGCCTGTAGATATTCTAAATTCTCCTACAGATATTCCTATGAAAAGCAAAAGGTGAAGGAAGACCATGTATGATGGACTGGCTTTCTTCCTACAGACTCACTTTGACAAACATGGCTTGTCTTTCTTTCAGCATTTGTCTAACAGTGATAACCATAGAACTCTACTCCAATGGACTGCAATGGTCAGCTAGGAGCTATAAAAACAAGCACTTCCAGCTTAGAAGATGAAGCATTAAGAATAGGTGTCCTACACAGAAGCTTAAATATAAGCATCAGTGTGCATAGTTCAACCCAAAACCACATTTCCAACATAAAGAATTAAAATTGATCATAAGTCATAAATGTAAACCAGTAAATATACCCCTTAATAATCAAAGTTTTACAGAGAAAAGAAATTCAAATTTCCTTCTAAAAACTATACAATATGGCAATAAAGGTATGGATCAGTAGAAGAATATGTGCCTGAGTAAGACCCTGGGTTCAATCCTCAGAATTATAAAATAATCATTTAAAAAGTAATGTTGTCATATGCAGCAACATGGATGGGACGAGAAGGCAAGTGAAGCAGGCACAGAAAGACAACGCCACACAATCTCACTTCCTAGCTCTTAGACTCCTATGGAGGCTTTCTAAGACACTTTTCCAAAAAAGGTGATCTCAGAATTTGAGAGTGGAACAGTGGTTACCAGATATGGATAAAGAAAGGTAGGTCTACAGGTACCAAATGAGTTAGATACAAAAAAATAAGTTCCGGTGTCCCAAAAAAAAAAAAAAAAGCCAGAAAAGGGACTTTTAGTTTATCCTGATTTGAATAGTATATAATTATACACACATACTGAAAAATTGTACTCCTTAAATATGTACAATCTATACTTATAAACTTTAAAAAATTTAATGCAAAATGTATATAGTACTAGCCATTGCCACTCACATAGCTGGGGCCTACCTTTATTAAATATGAAGCTACAAGTGCCTCCATTAAAGTTCTCTGTGCTCCTTCTAAGGTACTATACGCTCCAACCATCATAGATAATGCTTCCTGAATGGCAAGTCGAGTCTCAGGCTCTTCCTGTAAAGACAGTAAAAATGGTATTCCCTCCCAGCTGACTTCCAGGAAAGTATCCATGCAGAAGTGTAAACTTAACAGTATGTTTCCCTACCTTACACAGGGCTTCGAAAAGCTGTTGCACAAGAGCTATATCCTTAGTGAATAAATGGGGCATTCGGCTATAAGAGAATGTAAGAACATCATTATCACAAATTTCTATGAGATGAAAAGGGGTAGAAAATGAAAACTATATACAAACATTCCTCAGCTCAAATTTTTACAACACTGAATACAATGTCACTATCATTAGGTTACTTTCTCCAGGAGCCAAATACTTTTTAAAGTGATTATTTTTCAATTATATAAATAATCCTTCATTAACACACACACACACACACACACACACACACACACGCACGCACGCACGCACGCACGCACACACGCACACGCACACATATTTCCGGGTATTCCTTCTATAACATTCCACGCACTCTGTTAACATTCCAGACTTTAACATGAAGGAAAGAGATACTAAATTGTAATTTGAATGGAAATCTGCCATAATAAGAGGCCTTTCTACTTCTTGCTACTATAAAAAGGGATAGTTTGTAACAACCCTGTGCTTGTAAGCTGATCTAGAGTCACTTTCTTCTGAACTCTGAAGTTTTTTTTTCTTCACATCAGAGAAGAGCAACTACATATAGACTATGTTTGGTACCAAAGCAACACAATGGGACCACTGAAAACATTTCATCTCTTTTTTTTTTCCTTCAGTTTAAAATGAAAGAAGATGATACCAGAAAAAATTGGAATGATGAAATCATCTTGAACAGAGGGAAACATATATCTTTAAAAACAGGATCATTCATACTCATAAGTAATATCAGATGAGATTATAAGGTTTAGTGATAAGAAGCAACAGGAACACTTAAGGTTAACTTAATGTCTATAGTATAATTCATTATACAACCATAATGGTAACCTCTTTTGACACAATTCAGTTTAAAACCTAATTTCAAGATTGCATTTAATATGGTAATGTATTTTCAAAGGCAAACTTAAATGACTACTATCTTTTGTAAAAAGAGGACATTTCTAAACAGCCTGTTGCCATAAAATACATTTCCTGTCAGAATCATAGTAAATTATTCTCCATCTATTGTTAATGCCAGATAAATTTTTCTCAATTTTCAACAGGTATTTTTCACAGAAAAAATTTAAAAAGATAGAAAAAACATTACTCACCTGGAGAGTTTTCCAACAGCTGAATATGCCATTGACAACAGTTTAGGGTCCTTAAAATTAAAAAAGGAATAAAAATCAGACAAAAAAAATACAATAAACAGCAAATGCTTTTGCCACCATCACATGTATTATTTTACTTTTCACTCATGCTATCTTACATAATAATGCCACAACAATAAAATGTCCAAACTCAGAACAAAAGAAAATACAAACAAAACCTTCTTTAACTCACTTCAAAATACAGTGGTCACACATGAAAGATTTCTTTTATCTGGCACTAACTTTAGGGTGTTTTCAATACCAAGTATCCTGAAAACACCAAAATTAATCTTCAATACACTTGGGCTTATTGGGAAATTATCCCTGCTCTGAGAGACATATTCCCTCCCCAACAGAACTGTAATAAGCATAAGTACAATTTTCTAAATACCAGTAATAAAGTGGCTTCTTTTCATTTCTTACACCATAACAAATTAAGTAGGTAAGAGTATTATAGAAAACAGTGGTCTCCACCCAAAATATAGATAGAGCTTTAGAGTTTCACAAAAACTGAGAGTCGACATTACTTAGAACACAGCAAAACTTCTGTAAGATAAACTTTGTCCATTTAACTTAGAGTTCAGCCTCCAACATCTGAACAGCCAACTCTAGTGACACATCTGTTGGGAAGGTATGCAAATGACACCTGGAAGTCAGATTAGGTACTGTGTTTTATCTGGACTGGGCCAGTCATGTCAAACCTACTGACACAGAAACATGATGTCACCTAAACTTTGCAATCGAATTGTAAGAAGGGAGTGGGGGTAGGAAGGGAAGAAGGGCTGATACCACACACAGAAATAAAAACACACAAAAAATGTTTTAAGTAAATTCATGATTTTGGGTTGCGCTGCATTCAAACCTAACTTAGGCTACGGTGTTGGACGCACCTAAAACCTATTTTGAAATATACAGTTTTTCTCCAAAAGTCCAAAAGCATTTTATTTCTACCAACTACTCTAAAGCATCTGATGATCACATAATCTATGCCATAAAATAATGTTAAAAAAATTATTAAACCTTAAAGGAAAAAAATGGCCAGGCAGGGGTGGCGCACACCTTTAATCTTAGCACTCCAGAGGCAGAGGCATGCTAATTTCTTAGTTTTAGGCCAGCCAGCCTGGTCTACAAGCAAGTTCCAAGACAGCCGGGGCTACACAGAGAAACCTTGTCTCAAAAACAAAATAAATACAAATTTTATTATACTTTAAAAACCAGGTAAGCATTATTCAATGGAAGAAAAAAACCTAGGTTCCAAGTGTATAACAAATCAATAGTATTCACCTGTAATATCTAATGTGCCCTGCCTATATTAAACCACTTTGTGTGTTAACTCATTTCATTTCAGAACAATACAATAAGGTAATTTATCCACTTTTTCTGACAAGAAGGGTCCAAATAACTTGAGTAGTTTATCAAAGAACAGACCTAGGATACAAATTCAACCCTAACTTCAGATACTGTTCTCCCTGTACTACTGCAAAGATGAACTCATGTTTAACAAAGCCTGAAAAATTCAATGCTAGCAAGACTTAATACTTTACCTATTCTGTTTAGCATATTCTCAAGAAATATGAGATAATGAGAAAATATAGCAAAGAAAACCAGACTTTGAAAATCTACAATCCAAGAAATTCTGATAACACTTATTTTACAGAATCAAAAATTTACTGAATGTGTATTTGATAAAATTATAAATTAGCAAAATCTGAGCCCCCTAAAAATTAATACTATTTCCCAGTACAAGTCAACTCCAAATAATTCCAGATACAAATACAACATAAAATTAATTTAATTTCAATTTTACATAGGACGGACAAGTAGCATAAAATGTATTTGCTTTTGCACATAGCTTAAAGAAGTGATGACAGCCTTAAAGATGTTATCGGTTTTAACAATTATTTCCTTAAAAGGAAAAAATTGGCAACAGTATATGAAAATGTCACCATTTCAAATAAAAATGTTAACAAACAAAGGTCAATACCAAACATTAACTATACTAATAGGTGGACCTGGGAGACTTATTACAATAAATATTTTATAAATATTAAAATTTAAAAGACAAGTCACTTACCTCTTTATATTCATTTATTAGCTTAGTGAGACCATTCAAAAGCATAGGACCTAGTGGCTTAATCTTGATTTCTGGGCAGCTTTAAAAACAAAAATAAAAATCAAGATATCCTTTCAGATGGTCTCTTAAAATATTAGCAACAAATAAAAACTGAAACTCTCTAGAGAAATGACTCAGCAGTCAATGCTTGTACTGCTCTTCTGGAGAACCCTAGTTTAGTTCTCAATACCTGTATTGGGCAACATACAAACTACAAGCTACGCCAGCTCCAGAAGATTCAATGATTTCTTCTGTACCCTGCAGGAACCATCACACACATGAACAGACTCACACAGACACACCCATATATGCGTAATTTTTAAAATACTAAAAATAAATCTTAAAGAATGGAATCTCTCTAAGATAAACAAACATGATTGCTTTTTAGGAAAGAAGGAAGAAAACTACCTAAAACTTGATTATTCTAAAAAAAATGAATAATTAATTAGTTAAAAAAATAAAATAAAACTTACGTTATACAAATGTGATGTACAAATTGCAGGGACAATGTTCTTAACTTTGAATTTGTATTTGTACCAAAAAGTCCATCATACACCACCTATATAAAACAAACAAAATCAAAGACACCAATTAACAAATAACAATATGGCATTTTTCAAATAGTAGTCAAGATTCAACAACAGACCTCTGCACTACACCATACTCTTCAAAATTAATACAACTTTTATAATGACAAACACTAGCTGGCCAGGGATGGTAACATATGCCTATAATCCCAGTACTTGGGAGGCAAAGGCGGGTGGAGCTCTGTGAGTTTGAGGCCAACCTGGTCTACAAAGCGAGTTCCAGGACAGCCAGGGCCACACAAAGAAACTCTGTCTCAAAACACCAAAAACACAAAACAAAACAAAAACAAAAACCGGTAACTGACCAATTTTAAAAGCTACCACATCATTTATATATACAACAATGATAATAATATAAATTAGGAATTTATAAAGTTTTTTAAGTTTCAGAATACTTAGCCAGGATTACTTGTAGAATATACCTCCATTTACTACCACCAAAAGAAAATTAAGCCAAGGCTGAGAGATAAAATCCCATGTGCTAACAGACAGAAAAGCACATTATTGGAGGCCAAAGAACAAGTCACTGGAGTGAGTTCTCTATTCTACTCACTCCAGTGATTTGTAGATTTCAGGGATTAAACTCAAGTTCTCAGATGTAGTAGCAAGCACCTTTATCTGCTGAGCCATCCTACTGATGCAATGTTTTTTTGGTTTTTGTTTTGCTTTTTAACAAATTTTAATAACGCCTTCCTCATAGCAACATTGTGAAGACTAAAATAATAGATGAAGTTTAGAATACAGAGGCTGGTACTCTTTTGTTATGTTCACAGTAAATGGTGAGAGGTTAGGAGTTTTTTCCTCTCTTGCCATCATTTTTCCCACATCTTGTACTCCAACAAAAGACTGTAGCTCCTTAAATACAGTTTTCATGGCTCGGTCTCACTCGTGATGCTGCTTCTACCCAGCAGACTCCCTTTCCCTTTAAGCCTAGTGAACATCTCCACATGTTCTGTTGTTCACTAAAGCACACCACTGTATCTGAAGTGTTCCAGATCCCACCTCTTTCCACTGAGCACACACTCCCTTGTGCTTCCACCATCTGGTGGGCACAGGCTTCTACTGCAGTATCTTTCCAGTCTATGGCTTGATGTTTGTGTGTCCATTACATTCCTCTAGATGAATTCTCCATGTCTGGTATAAAGTAGGCACCGTAACATTATAATAATTTCACACCTGTTCTGTTTCCATAAACAGGAAAAAATGCCACAGATAATCTCTGCTATCAAGTCTCCAAGCACCATTTCTCAGATAGGGTTCTGATCATTCTGATTAAGACAGTACACACGTAAGCAGCTGTCTGAAGTTTTAAACCAAATATTCATATATCCCATAAGGTTTAGACATTATTTCTAATAATTTTGTGTTTTGAAATTAAGTCCAGCTTCAAAACTCATTGCCCATCTTCCCTAAGTATTCTTTTCCTTATATTCCTATTTTGTCTTAGTCAGGGTTTCTATTGCTATAATGAAACACTATGACCAAAAAGCAAGTTGGAGAGGAAAGGGTTTATTTGGCTTACATTTCTGTATTGCTGTTCATGACCAAAGGAGGTCAGGATAGGAACGCACACAGGGTAGGACCCTGGTGGCAGAAGCTGACGCAGAGGCAATGAAGGGTGCTGCTTACTACTGGCTTGCTTCACCTGGCTTGCTCAGCCTGCTTTCTTATGGAACCCAGGACAACTAGCCCAGAGATGGCATCACCCACCATGGGCTGGGCCCTCCCACATTGATCACTAATTGATAAAATGCCTTACAGCTGTTTCTCATGGAGGCATTTCCTCAACTGAGGCTCTTTCTTCTCTGATGACTCCAGCTTGTGTCAAATTGACACACAAAACCAGGCAGTATACATTTCTAATGACGGGATTACCATCCTACTAAACAGTTTATCCTGCCTTTCTTGTCCCCCATCAGCCAGTCCTTGGAGCTGCTATTCAGATGCTCTTCTTCCCTGATATATTTTTGAGTAGATATATACGCCACTTCTGTTCTAAACAGGAAAAAAGAACCAACAATTCCTTATATATCATATGTAGGCCATAAATCTTATTCTTTTCATTTTCAGCATCCAGTCAATCTTTTTGTACTATTATTTTGCCCTAAGACATCAGCTTAATGATTCTTAAAATACCATAGTCAAAAATAATCTAGCACTGGATTGTATTTTGTCCTGTCTCATTTTTTAATATTTTATATTTGTTTATTGGGCAAGGGCATTCCATGGCATGTATGTGGAAGATCAGAGGACAACTTAGTGTCAGGTCTCTCCTTCCACCATGTGGATTCCAGGCTCAGCAAGCACCTTTATACACTGTGACACCTTGCCAGCCTGTTTCATTTTTAATGTGAAGAATTTTTATTATAAACTCACTAAGATTATGACTACCATATCTGATACCAATGCTTTAAAATACCTCTTGTAGAAGTAGAATAGTAGCAATTATAAAACCAGATACTCAGTGCTAACTAATAAACCCACAGTTATTGTTAAAATACTGGCAGTAGCTTTAGGAACAGTATAAACATTTGGAGGGAGGCATTAAGAATAATCTTTCTAATCAATATGGCAGTTTCTCAGAAAAGTGGGAATCAATCTACCTCAAGACACAACTATACTACTCTTGAGCATATATTCAAAGGATGTTCCATCATACCACAACAAGGATACTTGCTTAACTATATTCATAGCAGTTTTATTCATAATAGCCAGAAACTGGAAACAACCCAGATGTCCTTCAACTGAAGGATATTTACACAATGGAGTATTACTCAGCTGTTAAAAACAATGACATTGGGCAGGAGAGATGGCTCCGAGGTTAAGAGCACTGACTGCTCTTCTAAAGGACCCTGGTTCAATTCCCAGCACCCACATGGTAGCTCACAACTATCTGTAACTCCAGTTCCAGGGGATCTGACACCCTCACACAGACATACATGCAGGCAAAACACTAATGTTCATAAAATAAATTTAATTTTTTTTTTATAAATGACATCATGAAATTTGTAGGCAAATGCATGGAACTAGAAAAAAATCATCCTCAGTGAGGTTACCCAGACCCAGGAAGACAAGCATGGTATGTACTCACTTATAAGTGGACATTAGCTGTCAAGTATAGGATAATCAACCTACAATCCACAGCCCCAGAGATGCTAGATAGCAAAGAGGGGTTGGGGGGGGTTGAATGGATCTCCCTGGGAAGGGGAAACAGAATAGATTTCACAGATGGACTGTGGACAGGTGAGGACAGGAACAGGAGGGGTCAGGTGAGGGAGATAAAGGGGAGATTACTGGAAGAGACGACTGGAAAAGTACGGGGGACCGCATTTCAGAGTGAGGTAGAAACCTAGTGCAAAGGAAATTCCCAGAAATCTATAAGGATGACCCCAGCTAAGACTCCTAGCAACAGGAGATTCATAGCCTGAACTGGCCATTTCCTATAACCAGGCAAGACTTCCAACGAAGGGACTGAGAAACCAACCCAGGCCCATAACCTTAAACCTACATTCTGCCCTGCCTGCAGATGTGCTGGGGTAAAGATCACACAGCAATTGTGGGAGTGGCCAACCAATGAATGATACATATGCCACAAGAGGAAGCTCATCCCTGACACTGCCTGGAGTACCAGAACCCAGAGGCTAGATGGTCCAGAAACCTAGGCTAGAACCAAACATGACTGGCAATATATATACTAAAAAATGTAATTATGTCTAACCATATTCTGCTATACTCAGGGATTGGAGCCTGGCCCAGGTGTCATCAGAGAGGCTTCATTCAGCAACTGATGGAAACATGTCAAGACCTGTTGTATGGTATTTTGTTTGTGTTCTGACAAAACTTGCCTGGAGATCAGAAGGCGGAGCTAGCCACTAGTTAACCATAGAGGCTAAGCAGTGGTGGCACACACCTTTAATCCCAGCACATGAAAGGAGGAAGCAGGAAGATCAGGAGTTCAAGGCCAACCAGTCTACAAGAGAAACAGTGCCAGTAGAGGCTGACACCTTTAATCCCAGCAGAAGGGAGGTGGATACAGGAATATAAAACAGGTGGAGACAGAATCAGCCTAATCAGTCTGAGGATTTGTAGAGATAGGATCTCAGCATTCGGTCTGAGATTTCATAGAGGTAAGCACTCTCTGGTGACTGGCTGTTCTGCTTCTCTGGTCTTTCAGCTTTTACCCTAATATCTGATTCCAGGTTTTTCTTAAGACTAATTAGATTCATGCTTCAAAGACCCATAGGTAAACATTAGGAGGAGCTCAGAGAATCCCAAGGAAGAGAGGAGGAAGGATTGTAGGACCTAGTGGTGTCAAGGGTACCACAAGAAAACCACAGAATCAACTAACCTGGGCTCATAGGGGTTCACAGAGACTGAACTGACAACCAGGGAGCCTGCATGGGACTGACCTAGGCCCTCTGCATATGTTACACTTGTATAGATTGATCTTCTTGTGGGACTCCTAACAGTGGGAGCAGGGACTATCTCTGACTCTTTTGCCAGCTTTTGGAACCTATTCCTCATACTAGATTGCCTTGCCCAGCCTTAATACAAAAAGAGGTGCCTAATCTTAGTACAACTTAATATGCCTTGATTGGTTGGTATCCATTGGAGGCCTGCCCTTTTCTGAAAAGAAACAGAGCACAAGTGAATGTCAGGGGGCAGGAGGGAGATGGTGGGAAGGAACTGGGAGGAGAGGAGGGAGAGGAAATTGCAGTCAGGATGTAAAGATGAGATGTGGGTGGGGTTTTGTTATTCAATGGATTATGAATGTCTGTCATTGTTTAGTGGGGGTTGGTTACAAGTTGTTATTGGTCATAATCAGAAAAAAAGGTAAACAAAAGAGTTGAATTTAAAGATCTCTTTCTAAAGGAAAAAAGAGGGGTATAATATAGGAATGATAGGGGAAAAAGGTGGATTATTGAATCTACTTTAATTCAAGAAACAACTATTAATCTTAAAGTATTCTACATTGGTATGAATTTTGATTTACTGATACAAATTTAAAGTTAATTTTGTTATACTGTATGCATATTTCTACTCTTGCTTAGGATATTGTGTTTCTGCAGGTCATTTAAAAATGTAATGTATAGGGTGGGTGGTGGTGGCTTGCGCCTTTAATCCCAGCACTCGGGAGGCAGAGGCAGGCAGATCTCTGTGAGTTGGAGGCCAGCCTGGGCTACAGAGTGAGATCCAGGAAAGGCTCAAAGCTACACAGAGAAACCCTTTCTTAAAAACAAAAAAAAACAAAACAAAAAAAAAGTAATGTAAAATTAAGAAATACAGATTAATAGTCAAACTTAGAGTCATGTTAAGTATGTTTTCAATGTCATACACAAATGTATTTAGACAGACACATATCTTCAAAAACTTCAAAGACCTACAGAATATGGCATTTAATATGTTTAATAACCTAAGGTTTTCTTGACAGTGAGACAGATCTGCTCTTGACAGCACCAATGTACTTCAAAAGAGGATAATGTGTATTGAAGAAACTCTGTATGGATTTTGTTTTCTTCATAGCAAAAGCTAGTCATTTGGGCAAAGAAACTGCCCTTTTCTCAATTGCTAACAATATACTGTCCAAACTGGACCAGAAGGATGCAAAAAAAAAAAAAAAGAAAAAGAAAAAGAAAAAAAAAAAGTGATGCCAAACTTTGTCGTTGTTTTTGTTTTTCAAGACAGGGTTTCTCTGTGTAGCTTTGCACCTTTTCCTGGAACTCGTTTTGTAGACCAGGCTGGCCTCAAACTCACAAGAGATCTGCCTGCCTCTGCCTCCCGAGTGCTGGGATTAAAGGCAAGTGCCACCACCACCCGGCCAAACTTTGTCAAAACAAGGTAGGGCAGTCCTTCAAAATTCCCTGCTTCTCAAAAATGTCTGTCAGATATACTAGGCCTATAGGCTAAAGATGCATGCCCTAACATTAGAAAAGAACTTTGGGTGACTATCCAGGCAACCAGCTTTTTCTGTCATCTCTTAGTTCTGGAAGTCACTTGCTTTGCACTTCCTGTTTACTCGGGTAATACTATATCCTTCTCAGGTCCTTCATGGGGTTGAAGACTAGATAGTTAGTTATAGTCCTCCATAATCATGGTGGAAAGTAAATCAGGTATGAAACTCTGAACTCTACAGGGGAAGACAGCTGATAGATTATTTTCTCTATTTTGTCAAATACAAATGTAACTGTAATTCTTACTTGATAACTCTTTTTGTTGTATATTATTTTAGTACGTTAAAGTTAAAACCTTCAGGGGTTGGGTATTTAGCTCATTGGTAGAGCGATTGCCTAGCAAGCTCAAGGCCCTGGGTTCAGTCCTCAGCTCAAAACAAACAAACAAACAAACAAACAAACAAAAAAACCTTCCTTTTTTATTAGACAAAAAGGGGGAAATTCCTTTACACTGTGAATATATGTCACTGTGATTGGGTTAATAAAGAAGCTGGCCAACAGCTGGGCAGGTAGACATTAGGTGGTACTTGCAGACAAAAAGAGAGCAGGAAGAAAAGGAGGAGTCTGAGAATTGTGAGGAGATGTGGATATAAAGAAATGAACTTGTTGTACTGAGAAAAGATACCAAGCCACATGGCAGAGCATAGATAAGAAATATGGATTAATTTAAAATGTAGGAGTTAGCTAGTAACAAGTCTTAGTTACTGGCTGAGCATTTATAATTAATAAGTCCCAATGTGGTTATTTGGGAGCAGCTGCAAGGACACAGAGAAACTGTCAATATTATTCATGAAAGGTAAAATGTAAGGTATGCCAAGGATCCAAACAGAGGAATGAGACCTTCATTCTTAGAAAAAAATGAAATCCTGACACATGCTACAGCAGATAGACCTCAATGATATGGTACTGAGTGAAATAAGCAAGTCACTAAAAACAAATACTGTATAATTTCACTTATGGGAAGTTCTTAGAGAAATCAAATTCATAGAGATGAAAACCAGAATAGTGGCTGGCAAGACATAAGAAAAATGACAATGTTTTATAAAAAGAGTTTCAGTTTTGCAAGATGAACAGAATTGTAGCAATGGGACTTTTTTTAAAGCCAGTGAACTGCATATTAAAATGATCAAGATGGTAAATTTCAAGTACATTTTATCACAATTTAAACATGGACAAAATAACATAGATAAATTAGATTCCTGGGGTGGTTTGAAAGAAAATGTTCCCCATAGTGAGTGGCAATATTAGGAGGTGTAGTCTTGTGTGAGCAAGTATCCTGTAGTGGGGAGGCAGGCTTTGATGCTTCTATGCTTAAGCTATGCCCACTGTGAAACACAGTTCACCTCCTGTTCCCTGTGGATCCAGATGTATGACTCTCAGCTCCTTCTCCAGCACCATGTCTGCCTGCATGCTGCCATGTTTCCTGTCATGATGATAATGGACCAAACCTCAGAAACTGTAAGCCAGCCCCAATTAAATGTTTTTCCTTTATAAGAGTTGCCATGGTTGTAGTATCTCTTCACAGCAATAGAAACCCTATGACAATTGCCCAAATAATTGCCTTGAGGGCTGAGGTAGTCATAACTTGGTTAAAGATAAAAGATAAAAAAAAAAGGGGGGGGGGACCTAGTACCTTTTACCAACACAGTATAATAATTTCCCACTGCAAAAACAGTTTGATGTCAATACAGAAGACAGACTAAATGTGAGCCAGAGGACAGGCAGGCCAGGAGACAGAGGAGAAGACTTCTGTAGTCATTAAATCAAGAAGCAACAAACAGTGTGAGTTAGTATCATCTTTAAGCACAAAAGAAAAGTGAAGGACTTTGTAAAGACAAAGTCAGAACCACCCACTGCCTGAGTTTTCACTTACATAATTATGATGGTAATATTACATACACACATATACACACACACAAATACATAGAAAAAAAGTTTAGTTTCTTATAATGCTGGGCAATCACAAAAACTAGTCTGGATGGAGTTACCACCACATATTTAAAGTAAATGAAAACCATAAGATATATATATATATGTGTGTGTGTGTGTGTGTGTGTGTGTGTGTGTGTGTATAGATATAGATATATATGTATATAAATATATAGATATAGATATCTTATATAGATATACTTAAAATTGTTAGTCTTGTTAGGTACATCAGCCTACTTCCTGTATATCCATTAATACCATTTTTTCTCTAAGTAAAGCTATTTGCTCAAACCATTTTTCTTCTTTGAACAACACCAATACCTGAATGTTAGCTGGGAATGTTTCAGCAGCCTGTCTAGAACGAAGGAGATGAGGGACAATCTTTAACTTCACTCTGGTACTGACCGGGTCTCTTTTCAGCTCTGGCTTTAGAACTGCTCCCTAGGAAAAACATGTTTGATTATAACACATTTTAAAATTATTTGTGGGTTTTTACTCTTTAAAATTACTGAAAATTCCTAGGTACTGGAGGGAAGGCCTAGCAGTTAAAAGCACTTGTTGCTCTTGCAAAGGACCTGGGTTTGATTCCCAGCACCCACATGGTAGCTCACAACCATCCATTAACTCCAGTTTCAAGGGATCTAGGACCAACTTCTAGCCTCTGTGGGAAGCAAATATACATGTAGGCAAAACATTCATACATATAAAATTAAATAAATAAAGATTTGTTTTATTTACTGAAGATTCCAAAAGTTCTTACTTCTATCAGTATTACCTACTAGCAATTGTTACATTAAATATTAAAACTCAAAAAATCTGAAACATCAATAAATTAATATATTTTAATAAATAACATTTTTCTTTTAAAAGACGGCCTTTGTTTTTTAAGTGCACTGAGTAACAGCATCATTTTATATATTTTTTTGGAAGTTATCTTCAGCATTCACCTTACTAGAAAAGAGCTAGGTTTTTCCATACTCTACATTGAATTTGCTGTGATTGCTGTTTTGCTTGATGGGATAAAACCCAGCTTGCAGACACATGGTCAGAAAATTGGGATGATTTTTGCCCTTTTTAAGAGTAATTGTAGATCTTTGATTCTATATCAAAACTTAATACATAATGGTTTCCTAAAGCTTAGTTATAATTTGGAGTTTAAACCAAATTGCTGAGCTCCTGCAGATGCTGTTAAATAAAATTCCACTGTCTACCTTACAGTTTGGATGGGGTCCTTAGGTTGTGCTTTTGTGACATCACTGGTCATCTGGAAAATACTGCCATACTGAGTTCAGCAAATGTTTCAACATAAAACATTCCCAATACATATATTTAAAAGTATTCCTTTCAATATTAATCTCTTCAGGAAATGTATTGCTCAGTTACTGAGTCAATGTCCAAATTTCCCACAATTCTACTTTTCCCTTGAATGTTCAACTTTCAGCATTCCAAAAGAAAGAAATCACTTCAGTTTTCATTGATGTATGGTCTCATTTTTTTCTTTTGAGAGAAAAGGTCTGCTAAAATAGCAGTCACAATAACCACAGCTTACTTACCTGTTCTACAAGTAAAATAATTTCTAAAGTTTCATCTGAATACTAATATAAAACATAATCACTCTATCTCCTCTCTCTTCTCATTCTCACTCTCCCTCCTTCTCCCTTTGTCTCTTCCTCTCCCCCTCCTATCTCTCCCTCTCTCTCCCTCTCTTCCTTCTTCCATACATATGTGACACAGCTTTGCCTTAATCTGTGGTATGATCCCACACAATATATACCCACTACTACTCTCATGCCATCAATGTAAATATCAACTTAAAAAAAAAACTGGCAAATAATTTTTTGCCTTTACAGCTCCCCTGAAAAGTTCTTTGTTACTCCAAAGAGGTCAACAGACTATAATCTTAAAACCAATAATCTATCGAATTCTTTCATTTTCTACACAAAGAACACGAAAGAGAGCTGAGTGACTAGCCAAATCTCTCTTCCTAACACACTGGTTTATGTGCAGACATTCAGGGCTACAATCCAGGGATCTCATTGTCCTTTCTGCTACACCACTTTATTTAATCTAACTAGAATTATTAACTACTATTTAGGATGTTAAAAGAAAGCAACCAAACACACAACTCATACTATATGTTTGGACAGGGATTTGGAATACTTTGAAACACTGTGAAGAGAACTTATTAACCAATGATATTACTTTAAGGCTGCAGAAACCACCTTCTGTTCTAGATTCTAAATCAGGAATTAGTAAACAACAGCCCATAGACCACACATGGCCCTCCATTTATTTCAACAAGGAATCTGAGTTTAAAAAATTACTTTTACATTTTTAAGTGGAAAAAAAATAGTAACATTTTGTAGCACATGGAAATTATATGATATTCAAGTATCAAATTTCACAATTTCATTGAAACACAACCTTGCCCATTGAATTATATACTACCTATTCCTTCTTTTCATGTTACAGAAGTTGAGCAGTCGTAGGCTCAGAAGCTATAATGTCTACAGAGCCCAAAATAATTGCAGAAAAAAGTTTGTGAATCCCTCATCAAGATAATGTATCATTAGCATTTATTCATCTACGCTGAAAATACCAGATCTATTAAACTCAACTTTCAGGAGTATAATTCACATAGACAAACATGGCTTAAAGCTAGTATTTCATAAAACATGGATTTAGCTTACAAATTAAGTAGGGAAAAAATACAGTTGATGTCAACACAATGTTATGCTGGTATGAGACTTGAGACTAAATCAAAGCAACTTACCTCTTTTGTCTTCAGTGGTATATCCCCAAGGTATACTTTGTACATCTTATTAATGATGGCAGGATTATTCCAGTCAATTAAACTATGGGAGGTTTCAACACAGATGGTTAAAATTATTTTTGGCCCCATTTCAATGATTTAAAAAACCCTAATATTTGTTATCAGAGAAAAATGTCAGAAACACACAAACAGAATGGACAACTGATACTGTGGAAGAGTAGAAATGAAGGGGACGACTGTCAAAGTTAGCTTTAAAAACTACAAATCACTCATTCCAGGTCCTCCATTTTGATCCAACAGATTACTGTAGCCAATGGCCCAACGTGGCACCACAGCAGAAATAAAAACTGGACAAAGTTCCTCCTACACAGGTAGGTCAGGGCCAGGGCTATGGAGCTGCTCAGCAGAACAGACATGTACGACACTTGTACTAAAAGCTCTGGGCCAGTAGTCAATGCTTCTGTTTAACCATTCATGATTTAAAAATGAGGAACAACAAAAATAGTTTTATGCTTCAAATAATCATACCCTAGAAAATTTGTAACCTATTGTATTTCTCCAATATTGTTATTTGATTCCTGGCATCATACAATTCTTATCTAGCCTATTAGCTTCAATACCTAAACCAGAGAAGTCACAATGCTATTTGTCACAGAGACTCATTCCTATTTGGGCTAGAAAAAAAAAAAAAGGTGAGTTGGGATATAGTGATTAGATAAAAAGTAATTATCTATCCCACCACCACAGTGGGACTCAGTCACTCATTTTATAAACCTAATAATAATAAAATCTTTGATTGTTGAAGTTCTCCCATGCTGTCGCCTCTCTGACTTTGAACACTGGTTCTGCTCTCAACTTATAAGGTTTTTATGTGAAAAGAATTTGCTATGCTGCTCAACTCCATTTTTGATGCGTTTTTTTCTTTAACCATACCTCATCAACCTATCCACAATGCCACCATTCTCCAAGGCATTATACATTTCAATTTTAGTACTATTCACCTACATCTTTTCTCAGCTGCTTGAGGCTAATTAATCAAATTCAACTACTGTTTCCCTTTTATAAAACTTAAGGTTTTGAAAATTTCAGCAAAACAAAGAAATAGTTTAGGGAAGCACACAAGGCCTAGTTGTGATTAACCAGTGAGGAGTTTCCCCTGCTCCTTTAATCTTACTGTACCACTCCTCTTTTTTCGGGTTACTTTTCTGACTATGTAGTTGTTGTAAAATGTACAGAACACTGACATATTACTTCTTTTCAACACGACAACCACTGACCTTACTGTGACTTTCCCAGACTCTAACAGGCTGACAGGACAGCTGGGAGTTAGAAAAGGAGGAACAGAAACAATACTTGTAGAGATACTTTGAGCTTTTCCTTTTACAAAATGGTTATTACCTATGTGTTTTCCCTATAGTTTTTAAGCTCTTAATGTAATTTTATGGTATATTCATTTTTTATCCTAAAAACAAAATTAATTAATATATCTAAGATTGTACTTCCAACAATCAAATCTACAATATGTTATACAGAATGGGGCCAATTCAAACTTAATGAAATGTTATGAAGGAAGAATTTTTTTTAACACTCCAAAACTAAATCTCTTGAAATATTCTAAGTCATGAACAACAAAAAAAAACTTAAGACTTGAAAGAATGTTAGAAAAAAAACGTAGTCCAATTTTCTCACTCTAGTCTGTCAAGGTTAAGTTTGGCTCTCAAACTCAATCAGTAAAAGACATGAAAAAATAAGATTGAGACAATCACTTCCTCCATGTCCCTCTCCTTAAACTATGGGTCAAGACTCCCATATGGGATCACATTACTAAAAATGGGTTCATAACAAATTTAGAGCAGTCAAGTTTCTAATCATGGATGTAATGAATCGACAGTGTTTCTGGCAGGACTAACTCAGGTGGCACTGTGGAGCTTCCCTGCAGCCTTTGCTCTGAATGCTCAACGTGCAGACTTTGCACTGTACATGCTGTCAGTCCATACAGCAAAGTCAACACTGACAGAAACCTCTTGCCTCATATTAAAGACCTGCATACGTTATAAATTTCACTGTTCTTACTGTTCATTCCATCTCTTATAGAAAGTAGTTGAAATACAGAAAATAAAACTTCTGTTATTTTCCTACCATCATTCCTCAGCATGCAAAATCAAATGAGTCTATCTTTGAATTATATCATGTTAGAATATTTGATTAAAACTTGGTAAATTGCTAGAATTAAACTTACAGTAAATCATGTACGGGTTTTGGCTTAGGATTAGGACAGAATTTCCAATAATTCCTAAATGCCTTAAACTTACTTCTGCCATTTTGTACTGAATATTTATGTAAAGCAGTGTTCCTAGCAGTAACCACTGTAAAATCAGTAAAGAATCAACCCCGAAGCAGGTTAAAGAGAATCTGTCCTAAGAATCAAATATTCAGCCAAGATTTAATTCTTTGTGTAAGAATGAACAAGCACATCCATTTTAGTAATAGAAAAATTTGCTTTCTTCATAATGGAAAAATTATATGTATAGCAAAAATTATTTCAAAATAATTATTTGATTTATTACCAGCAAATGTCAGATTTGCAAATCTATTCATATACTATATACTCAGTCATATAAAAAAACCTCAAACAAAAAGGATCATGAAAGAAAGTTTAAGGAGCCCTGCTAGGTACCACCACATTCGCCCTTTAGTGGTAGACTACTTGCAGCCACAACCGTCACCCACCCAAACATTTCAACAAGAAATAAACTAAGGCCCATTGAGTTCATTAACTTATTTTATTACACCTCATTGCACTGGTCTTCTTGGAAGGGAGCCAAGTAAAATTATACAACATTTATAAAAGCTTTATAGCACTTCCCATATTTTTCTGTAACATTATTTTAACAAAATATAATCATTCAGCCTTCTGGACATGATACCACACACCTATAATCCTCAGTAGGCAGAGGTGCAGGGCCAGGGAGTCTAAGGACAGCCTAAGCTACATAACAAGACCATCTCAAAATTCATAAATCAATGACTAAAACCTCATTATATGAATTGTAAATATATATACAGGATCTCACTGTGTAGCAAAAGCTAACTTTGAACTTATGATGCTCTTGCTCCTGCCTCCCAAGTGCTGAGATTATAAGCATGAGCCACTATTATCTAGCTTGATTTTATTTTTTAATCAAATAGATTCATTCTAAGTTATTCTTCAGTCTATATATTTATCATTTTAAATTTTATAATTAGAATATTATGTCATTTTATATTCTACTTTATTTGCTATTACTTGAGGAGCACTTTATATGTTGATATATCATTTTTATAATTTTGAAAGAAACACAATAGTCTATACAGTAATTTATCCCTATTGTGGAAAATTCAATTTGTTTTTATTTTTCAATAACTATAGGACATGACATAATGACTAAATGTATACCATTTCTAAATATATTTTTCTTCTTTTGAATGATAGTAGAGGACGAATTCCCAGATTTACTGTGTATAATTTTTTTTCATGATTCACTGCTCAAACAGGGCATGAGATCCAGCACTTCTGCAGAAACTTAAATGGATTTACCAACAGTTATATACCTGTTATTTAACCATAGCTATAAACTGGTAGTTCACTGTTTATTTTCCATTGCTTTTTATTTCATACAGAGTATTTCTCTAAGTCTTTCTACTATTTGTATCTCTTTTCGATGTAAATTTAAGTTTTACTCAGCAACTTTTTCCATAAACCTGGTTTCTACCAATAGTAACCACAATACATATACATTCATTATTAAAGGTGATCTTAACTGGTTTGAGACAGAAGAAGAATTACAAATTAATTACTTCTTGGGTCTAATATTTAATATTAACTTTCAGTTTATCTGCCTAGCCAAACGTCTCATTTCTCATGATGGCATTCCTAACCTACTTCAGCTCTGAAATGCATTTTCAAATAGCTTTTTTTCTCTGACACAAAATGTTGCTCTTTGGTAAACTTTATTTACTTATAAACTAAGTATGTGTCTTAGTTTCCTGAACTGACTACCTCATTCCATAAAACCCTGCAAAGCTTTAAGAAATCTGGCCTTTTGACTTTGAAAGCTTAACAAGGAAGTAATTACCTCTGCTTGCTTTTCAATTCCAGGTCTGCCGCTGTCGCCACACTATGGCGAGTGTCACTAGAAGCAATCACCAGGTGGAGAACAGCTTCGAGCTCAGGCACCTGCTCGGCTTCTATGAACTTCACTATGCCCAATTTGCACTGTAGATAGGTGAAGGGAAAGAGAAAGAGTGGTCAGGGAAACAACACTCACTAAAAATATTGCTTAACATATCAACATGGTCATAAGCCATGGATTAATTTAACAGGAGGAGCTCCTACTTAGGTTTATAATGTACCAGACAGTGTGCTAAATCATAACTATTCATGATTTCATTTAACCCTCACATCTATGAGGTAGATATTATTACAGACATTTTTAGGTGACGAAACTGAGGCAAGGCTTAAAATATTAGAATAATCAGTAAGTGATGGAGGCAGGCTTCAGAGACAAGTCTCTGACAACAAAACAATGGTAACAGTCTCCCTAGTGAGGTTACACAACCTTCCTAGACTGTGAAGACTTACGTCTCTACCTGCAGCTTCCAAGTAAAAGGTGATGCAACATTAAGAACAAAGTGCTCTATAGATGTTTGTGAGAAAAAAAAACCTATGAACACCTCACCTTCCAGAGTTTTACTCTATTGTTAAGATACACATTCTTGTCCTCTACTTTCTTAAGATACTAAAGGAAAGACAGAAAATATGATTCCAAACCCACTCTAGTCAATCGAGTGCAACTCTAACCCAACAGGAGTGCCTAACCCAACAAGCTCGATGAAATGCAATGAAGAGTCTAAGAACAACGTCCTGAAATGTGAAGAGCTATGAATTTCACTGCAAATCATTCTGGGACAAATACACCTGAAAAACAAAATTATATCTTCACTTTAAAACCAGTTACTTAATAGGTCTCGGCTATACAAATTAGGAATGATAAAATATATATTAAAGAAGGAAGGAATTTCTAAAAATTGAACAAGAAAGAATGCCAATAAAAAAAAGTCCAACTGGTCACAAAAAGGCCACCCTCTCCTCCCTGCTCAACATAACTTTCTTAGAAGAGATACTGTTTGGAAAGAGAAGGAATCATTAACATAAATTGCAAAGGGATGGTTATAGAAGTCAAATATACAATTCATGACAAAAATGCATGAGGAAAACTGAAAATGATAGGTCATCATGATTAAATTTTATACAAACATTAAAAGTATAGATTTTTTTAAATCCCCAAAGACTAGTAAAAAGACTAAACTATTGTGACAAGTAAAAGTGTATTATGTAAAAACTGTTCACACACACATACAAACATACACACTTGAGACATAGAGAGGGGGGAGAGGGAGGGAGGGAAGGAGGAAGGAGAAGAGGGGAAGAGAGAGGGAGAGAAGGGAAAGGGAAGGGAGAGGGAGAAAGGGAGAGAGAGAGAGAGGGAGAGAGAGAGAGAGAGGGAGAGAGAGAGAGAGAGAGAGAACACGAACCGGGCCCAAGCATAAGACATAGCTAACTTTTTGCTACACTGTTCCTTGAGGTGCTGTGGATTGAAGTCCTGGCCCTAAGTCTGCCTGCTAGGCACTCTATCACTGAGCAGTAAGTACTGTGGGGTTTCTGTTTGTTTTTTGTTTTTGAGACAGGGTCTCAAATGAACTATGTAGCCAAGGATGAACTATGGTTATGGAGTGGCAGGATTCAAGCATGGCTTCATGCTTGTAGGTAAATACTCTTACCAACTAAGCTATATGTCCATCACCCTCAATTCTATTCCTAACTACTTAAACCTTTACCTTTATAATTATATTTTTTAAAAAGTTGATTAATTTGGAAGAAAAAGTATTCAAAAATGAGAAGCTTTTATTTTTAAACTAAACTATTCATTTTAGCACCAGATTATGAAATAGACAAAACACATACAGAGACCATTAAATTCAGCAACAATGACCAACTTAAGACCATAAGTGAACAGTAACAATAATTACAGCTTTAAGCCTCAGAGAAAACTAGGTTCAAAGTCTAGTAATAGAAATGAGACCCTGGTGAATCTCAAAACCTCAGTGCCTTTTAGAAAAGGAGCTCAATTTCACTACCTCATTAGCTGCTGTGAGGATTAAATGAGATAATGTCCTCAAAGTACCCAATACAGAGCCTGCCACAGGCCACACTCAATAGAGTGGCTTCTCTTCTATTTACCTTCCTCACACTATGGTTTAAGGAGGGAAAATAGAAGATGTAAAAGCATGAAGTAAATCTGATCAATTATAACCCTCATCGAACGTAACACTCTTAAATTTTTGAGTGGCAAGAATGCCCCCCTTGCTTCGTTTTCCCTCTCCTGGGAACACTTGATCAACGGTCACTTACAATCCCAAAAAGAAAAGGATCAAATCATTGAGACTGCTATGGAGAAATAAAGGAAGTATTGGAAGACTAACCCATGTTGCTTGAATTCCAAAATAATTACATACTGATTTCTGTTCTTCCCTGAGGTGCCTGATGACAGACACAGGGAGGCACCTTCTCTGTAGAGCACCAGTCATTTTTAAAAGCTGCTCAGAGAACATCTGTGTCCTGTTTAAATCCAGAATAAAATTCTTAATGCCAATTTTTAAAACCCCAAGAAGAAATATAAAAGGGAGTCATGCTTTTCCCCACATTGTCACTTGTGAAGTACAGAGGTTCCTCAATTTACACAAAATGTACAGCCCTAAAAACTGAATAATGAAAGATAAATTGTAATTTAACTGCATCAAAGGAGCTAAGTAATTATTAAGACCTATAATTATAAATTGAAATGATAGAAAACTCAATCTGCTCAATATAAAACTGGGTTGTGCATAATACTTGAAAGATGTGAGCAATGTTTGAAAGACATAAGATCATTTCCCACTCCTCCCTTTTCCCTAGAACTTTAACAAAAACTGGCAGAGGAAAAGGACATTTTACATCACTTGCTCCTTTCAAACATAGTTTTTAGAGAACCTGAATATACAGGAATTACACTGCACATGCTTCCATGAACTTCATAGGGGCAAGTGTTCAAGGCCAACTCCCATGATGATCACTGTGTGATACCTGTTCCAACTGTTCAGGCGTCCATGGGTTATCACCAATAACTCGTTTAGCTGCATAAAAGCTCATTCCTGGGGGAGGCTGTGGGATTCCAGAACCTCCCCCACTGTTTGAAGAAGAACCCTGTGATGAAGATGAATTTTGGCGACTCTGGGATTCATTTAACACATATCTGGAAAAGAAATAAAACTTTAACTCTCTATAAAAAACGTGAATTTGTGTATAAACACATATATACATAAAATAGTCAATCACATGCTGTCCTTGTACAGTAGTATGACAGAACAGCGATTCTCAAACTATGAGTCACGACCCCTTTAGGGAGGGGTCAAATGACCCTTTCACAGGGGCTGCCTAAGACCATAGGGAAACACAGACATTTACATTACGATTCATAACAGAAGCAAAATTACATCTATGAAGTGAAATAATTTTATGCTTGGGGTCACTACAACATGAGGAAAGGGTCACAGCATTAGGAAGGTTGAGAAGCACTGTGCTAGAAGAATAACTAAAATAACAATGTCAACATAAAGATCTTTATTGTTTGTTTGTTTTTTAAGACAAGGTTGCTCTGTGTTGGCTGTCCTGGAACTTGCTCCATAGACCAGGCTGATCTCGAACTCAAAGATCCACCTGCCTCTGCCTCCTGAGTACCACCACTGCCCAGTAACATAAAGAATCTTAAAGGTATCTTAATAAAAGGTATCTATATCCTCAGTAAAATTAATCAGAAGAACCTATGACTCAAGGCAGTTATAAGTGAATTACAACACTTAACAATAGTGAGTACAAAATATTTGTGCCATTTCCATATACATACTATTGTTTGATAGGTTAGTAAAGACTCATTACATTTTGACTTTTAACTGACAAACAGACACAAGTTTGTTGACCCCACAAGGCGTATGGTCGGTCACTAGTGTTCTATGCCCCAAATAGAGCTTTTACAGTTATTCTCCTTTCTTTGTAACTCACATCAGAAAACTCACTGAAGCCTCCCTCTGACAAATTGCCAACATACAAATACATAACATTCTAAAAGTTCAAAACAAAGTAAAAGGGTCAAAGAGAAAAGGCTAAGGGCCAGCAAGATGGCTCAATGGGTAAAGGCACTTACCACACAAGCCTGACAACCTGAGTTTGAGTCCTGAAACCCATTAAAGGTAGAAAGGAGACACAAATCCACAAAACTGCCCTCTGACCTCCACACGTCATACCCATAGAAACATACAAATAATAATAATAAAGTTTTAAAAGTAGAAAAAGTCAGAAAAAATTAGAATTTTCCCATTATATAATTCAAAACTCTTTGATATATCTCCTTGTTATTGTTCTCTTATTTAATTTGGCTTGTAGAAAGTAGAAATAAGATCTCTAATAAATTCATTTTGATCCAGCTAAAACTAGTATTCCTCATAATCAAAATAAATTTTGATATAACTATTAGCTAGCAATCCCTTTAAACAATATAATTCTATACTGATAAATCTGATCATAATGACATTAAAATTCTCATTATAAATAAAGGAAACACTTGGAAGCTGTGGTAGTTTGAATGAGAATGTCTCCATGAACTCATACTTGGTTCCCAGTTATTGGCACTTCTGGGGGAGATTATATCCCCACAACAATAAGGTGCAGTTCTGCTGGAGGGAGTGTCACTGGGGGTGAGATCTGAGAGTTTATATCCTTACCCCACTACCAGTTCACTCTCTTAGCTTCATGCCTGCTGTCAAGGCCCATCAAGGTACTAAACTAAAGGAGCTGAAAAAGAGCAAACTGGAAGAGAAATAATAATACACCTTAAACCCTCTTGTTTCTGCACTGAGGCCAGATGATGTTCAGCTCTATTTGCCTGGCCCTCTATGTACATATATACTCAAGACCAGGGAAAATGGTATGGAAGTAGCACTTCAGAAAACTATCTCAGGCAACAGGACAAAATCAGTAGGCTAGTGGCAGACCACAATCTGGAAAGTAGGCCAGATTCCAAAGTTTGATAAAACACATCTTGACTGCAAGGGGCTGACAATCTATTAAGAAAAATGAAGATGTCAACAATGTGATTAAAAACACAAAGTAGTATACAGGTGGTTCTTGGGGGTTATGAGTACACAGAAAATAGAGCAAATATATCTACATATGCTGTGGAATACTCCTCTTGTACACAGGAAAGATTTGTCACTCAAATTGGTTTAATAAAACATCAATTGGCCAGTATCTAGGCAGGAAGTATAGGTGGGGCGACCAAACTAAGAATGATGGGAAGGAGAAGAGTGGAGTGTGAAGTCACCAGCCAGACACAGAGGGAGCAGAAGATGAATGTGCCATGCTAATAAAGGTACCGCCATGTGACAGAGCATAAATAAGGAATATGGGTTAACTTAGATGTAAGAGCTAGTTAGTAATAAGCCGATCATTTACAATTAATGTTAAGTCTCAGAATGGTTATTTGGGAACAGGGGGTTGGAATAAAAACTTGTTTACATATAGTGTTCCAATGTATGGCTAAAATTTCCATATAGAACCTGACAAAGCTTTAAAACGGATTCTAGACACACAAGAACGAAGTCAAGCATGGCTTTTTGGTAGCTGCCTTTTCACCAGTGGGCTCTGTTCATTGGCAGTGAGCAGAGTTGTAGCTCCCTTGAGAGATGCCTTTCTGGCTCGGTGCTAGCTGCAAAAATGAGTGGCTCTTTTAAGAGGCCCTATTACCAAACATTTTTATGGAGTTTATGAGCAGCCAGTGGCATGCTACTCAGTGGTGACATGGACCTAGAAACTTCGGAGAGTTGGGGCACATGGCTTTCAGAGCTGGCAGTAAACATGCCTTTGCCATGGGACTAGATGCTTAGGGTACCAAGGGGAAGGAGCCAGCACCAGCACACCAAGATCTAAGTTACACGGTAGTTTTTTTTGCTCATGCAGACAGAAAAAGGTTACAGATGCACAGTAAGGGCAGATTCAGACAAAAAAAAAAATAAATAAATATGTGAATTGAATACAGTGTGTTTAAAATATATGTAGGCTTGAGAGAAAAAAGAAAAAGGGTAAAGAAAGTCCTTAAAAAAAGAACTAGAACTGGGCAGTGGTGGCTCACGCCTTTAATCTCAGCACTCGGGAGGCAGAGCCAGGCGGATCTCTGTGAGTTCGAGGCCAGCCTGGACTACAAAGTGAGTTCCAAGAAAAGGTGCAAAGCTACACAGAGAAAACCTGTCTCGAAAAACCAAAGGAAAAAAAAAAAAGAAATAGAGTAATAAAAAAATACAATAAGCCACATAAAGATGAAAATACACAGGGAGTCTGAACTGTGTATATTATTGTGTTGTCTTTAAAATTTTTTTGGCTGCTAAAAAACCTAGGATTATGAAAACTGCTATATTAAACCAGTCTATATATTTTAAATGTATCTTGACTTCAAATTTAAGTCAAAAGATATGGTGCTTTGGGAAAAAGGTTCTGCTTTTGTTTCCACAGGAAATGAAATGCTCTGAATTCACTCTGAGTTAAGAAAAATCAAGTTTGATCGAGGAAGACCCCCCCCTTGAAAAATCTCCAAAGGGAGCAGATGGCCCAGATGATCCAACTTCTCAGAATGCCTCTGTTGCAGTTTCCTCAGAGTTCTACATTCTGAACAACTTCAAGGCAACTGGCTGGGATGATCCAGCCTCACAGAATACATCAGTCAAGAATTGACCATATTCCTAAACTTTCTCAGGGTCCCCCAAAAATTACCAGCACCCCCAGTCAACAGGAAATAGCCTAGAAAACTACACCCACATTCCCAAAAAATGAATTATGGATGTTTGTCACTCTTTAGGGGATTTTGTTACAAATTATTATCGGTCATAGTCAAAAAAAAAATAAAAATAAAGGCTAAATAAAAGAGTTAAATTCAAAGATCTCTTTCTAAAGGAAAAAGGGGGCTGGAATATAGAAATGATAGGATAAAAGGGTAAATTACTGAATCTACTTTAATTCAAAAAACAACTATCAATCTTACATATTTTACATTAGTATGGATTTTAGTTTATTGAGGCAAATTTCAAGGTAATTTTGTTATACTGTATGTATACTTCTACTCTTGTTTAGGGTATAATGTTTAGGCAGCTCATTTAAAAATGTAATATATAATTAAGAAATACAGATTAATAGTCATCTTTAATAGCTCCATATTAGTTACATTTTCAAGGTCATACAGAGATAGATTTCAGATAGGCAATCTTCAAACATTTCAAAGACCTGCAAAGGGCTCGAGAGATGGCTCAGAGGTTAAGAGCATTGGTTACTCTTCCAAAGGTCCTCAGTTCAGTTCCCAGCAACAACATGGTAGCTCACAACCATCTGTAATGAGATCTGGTGCCCTCTTCTTGTGTGCAGGCATACATGCAGGCAGAACACTGTATATATAATAAATATATCTTAAAAAAAAAAAAAAAAGACCTGCACAATACAGCATTTAAAATGTTTTAGTAACTTAGACTTTCATGACAGTGAGACACGTCTGCTCCTGGCAGCACCAATGTACTCCAGAGAAAATGATGGGCATCAAAGAAACTCCATATGTAGTTCGTTTTCTTTATGGCAAAAGCTAGCCTTATGGACAAAGAAACTGCCCTTGCCTTAATTGCTGACAGTAACTGTCCAAACTGGACCATCAGGACACAAGAAAGGCAACTGCCAAATTTTGCCAAGACAAGGTAAGACAGTTCTTCAGAATTCCCTGCTTCTCAAAAATGTCTGTCAGACCTGTAGGCTTGCCCAATGGATTGCCCAACATTGCAGAGAAACTTTGGGTGACTATCCAGGCAGCCTGATGTCCCTGTCATTAGTAACATTTCATTTCTGGAGTCTTTGATGGAGTTGAAGACTAGATAGTCAGTTATAATTTTTCTTATTTATGATGATGTAAATTAGATTTGAAACTTTGGACTCACCAAGATAGGATGGATAATTAAATGTTTTCTCTGATTTTGTCAAATACAAATAGACTGGATATTGTAACTATAATTGTATTAATTACAATGTTAAAGTTAAAACCTTCCTTTTTGCCGGGTGGTAGTGGCCCACGCCTTTAATCCCAGCATTTGGGAGGCAGAGCCAGGCAGATCTCATGAGTTTGAGGCCAGCGTGGGCTACAGAGTGAGTTCTGGGAAAGGCACAAAGCTACACAGAGAAAGCCTGTCTCAAAAAAACCAAAAAAACAAACAAACAAACAAAAAAACTTCCTTTTTAATTAGACAAAAAGGGGAAATGCTAGGGAATAATCCTCTCATACACTGTAAAGATTTGTCACTCAAATTGGTTTAATAAAATGCTGATTGGCCAGTATCTAGGCAGAAAGTATAAGTGGGGCGACCAAACTAAGAATGATGGGAAGGAGAAGAGCGGGGTATGAAGTCACTAGCCAGACACAAGGGAGCAAGAGATGAACATGCCATGCTAATAAAGGTACCACCATGTGACAGAGCATAAATAAGGAATATGGGTTAACTTAAGATGTAAGAGCTAGTTAGTAATAAGCCTAAGCTATTGGCCGATCATTTACAATTAATATAAGCCTCAGAGTAGTTATTTAGGAACAGGCGGTAGAAACAAAAACTTCCTTTTACATACATAGGATGAAAAATGTCTGTCAGAGACACAGAGTTGACATCAAGCTAGTAGGAGATATTTTCCAAAGTGACTCTTGTTATTTTTTCTGTGGAGAAATACCCTAAAGTGAGAAATAACTGCAATGCCTTAAGGAATAACATGACAATTATTTGTAGGGGAGTATGAACCTAATTTATAGGGGAGTATGACTGGCTAGTGAGAAACTACGGTTGTAAGATGTGCTTTGATTAAGAACTATGTAATGGGTGATGGTGCTCTGCATACTGTGAATGTGTTGTTCCCATTGGTTGATAAATAAAATGCTGATTGGCCAGTAGCCAGACAGGAAGTATAGGTGGGATAAACAAACAAGGAGAATTCTGGGAAGAGGAAGACTGAGTCAGGAGTCACCAACCAGACACAGAGGAAGCAAGATATGAAGGCAGAACTGAGAAAAGGTACCAAGCTACATGGCTAAACATAAATAAGAAGTATGGGTTAATTTAACTGTAAGAGCTAGTCAATAATAAGCCTGAGCTAATGGCTGAACAATTTTAATTAATATAAGCTTCTGAGTGATTATTTTATAAGTGGCTGCGAGGTCTGTGGGGCTGGGCAGGACCAGAGAAAACGTCAGCTACAACTATGCTAAAAATCAGGCAGTTCTAGAGCATTGTAGGGAAGTTTGAAGACATGATAGGGATAACTAAGTACAATGATGTGTGTGTGTGTGTGTGTGTGTGTGTGTGTGTGTGTGTGTGTATGTGTGTAAAACATAGATACAGTGAAGTCCACTATTTTGTACGCTAACTAAAAAAACTGAGTTAGAAAACAAAGACCAGAACAAAAAACTTTATGGTAGCAATGCCAAGAGATTTCAAGACACCGAGAAGAAAGGAAACTATGAAAAGAAAAGCTAGATGTGATTTCCTAAGAGTACAAGGTGCTAGGAGACTCAACACAACATTTATTTCAGCCTGGAACAGGTGAAGTCTAAAATCACAACAGGAACTCTACATCTACACAGTCAATATGTAGTGGAGCTGGACCTTAGCATTTAAGACTGATGCAAATCCTCAGACATGCATCCATTCACATTTAAATGGCACATAATTTCCATACAGTAAACTCAGTGAAAAACGTCATTACTTGGCTTTGTCTGTCTTTTTTAACTCACCCATAAGGCATCAGAAGGACATCTAGCATAAAGTCCAAAAGCAGCTGCACAGTCTTTGGTTTCTCAGCAAGATTGAAAGGAGAAGCTGATTTTGATGATTCAGCTGGGTATTTCATGTGGAAAAGGGTTGGTATTAAAAGATGCATTAAGCTGAAAGAAAAATTACATTTATTGAAGCTACTTTATGAATCAATTTTTATACATGGAAATAACAGAGCAAAGAACACTTAGTAAAAGTTGGTAATTATATCAGGAGTTATTCATTTTTGATACAAATTATATACAAAATCCTAATTTAGGAGTGGCCTTGATTTCCTAATCCTAGCACCAGGGAGGCAAGAGACAAGTGGATTTCTAAGTTCAATGCCAGCCAGGTCTACAGAGCAAGTTCCAGGACAGCCAGGACTACACAGAGAAACCTTGTTTTAAAAATTAAAAAAAAAAAAAAAAAAAAACCCTCAAAGTATTAAGTGTAAAATTAGCATTTTAGCCAATGTGGTTCATCACTTTAAAAATCTAGAAAACTGTATGTAAAACAGACTTGATGTTACCAAATGGTACTTCATGTTAAATTTTAGATAAAAGTCCAACAAGTCCTTTCAATAAAAATTTAATTTTAATTATTAATTTTGCTTATAAAAACCTGTAGTCTTTTGTTCAGGATGAAGCCCTAGATTTGATCCCCAGCACCATTATCAACCAATTGATTGATCATTAGTAAGTAAATCAGAATTGGAAACATCTTTTGCATTGGCTGGTCTGAGATACAGATCTTTTCACTAAGCTCACAGACAAATGATGTCATCTAAGTCCTTCCACTTTTCCAGTGTCTATATTAATATATTATATTAATAATACTCTATTGTCTCCAAAAATTGCTGAGAAATGTTTTATCCTTCAAGACAAATGTTTTGATTAAAAATATTCATTTTAATTATTTAATGAATATATGGGTATTTCGCCTACATGTATGTCTGTACAACACAAGAATAACCTAGTGCCCAGGAGCCAGAAAAAGGTGCTGGATCCGCTGGAACTAGAGTTAACAAATGGCTGTAAGCCACCATGTGGGTGATAGGAAAAAGATTTTTAACATCACATAAATTAACAACTTTTTAAAAAAATGACAAAAACTGAAGCAGTTAGATTTAGAAAAGTGTCATCAGTTCTATCCATTTTTCAATGTTCACATCAAGAACTTTTATAATGCTATTAATAAACTAAAAGAGTCACAGAAAATTCAACTATCTTTCAGCTAAGTGAGCTCAAGCCTTTCCATTTGCCAAGTGAAACCAAGTGTGACCTACACTGGAAAGGCAATGAACTGTTGTCTCTTACAGATGGGAACATGGAAATGAGAAAGCCATACCTATCCTGCTGTGGCTGAGGTTTCCCTTCCATGGCAGTAAGAAGTGTAGGGGCCAATTCACATTGTTTCTCCACTGGCAGGCGAGGATAGCCCATCTTAACATAAATTATAGTGAAATTCTAATGCAGTAAGAGAAAAGCAAGTGAGTATGAAAGGAAAAAATATGATTATAAGAAGTTATAGTTATAACAAAAACATCGCAAGAATCATCCTCTCCACAGATTTATTACAGCTTAATCAAGCACAATTTATTCAAACTGTTTTAAAGTGGCTTTTTATACAAGAAAGGGGACTTAACCTAAAGTAGTCATATGTAAAATTACTAATACCTGGAAGAAAAAAATCATCAAATCTACATTACCATAAGATCTTCTAGACTGCTGTATTAATCCTAGACACACGTTAACAAATCCCAGGCTTCCATTTCCCAGCTGGTCAGTTACTAAAACCATCTTTGGAAACTGCAGCACTCTGGTCCCTCAGTAACAAATTAGCAATGGACAACAGATGAGCCAGGGAAGCTGAGTGCTGCAGATGTTATCAGTAGCTCTATAACCCATGCAAAATTCACAACCGTATGGCAAGCCCATGACATAAATCCATATTTACACAGAAGATATAGCTGTTTATCTGAAGGATTCATCACAAAAATCAACAGGCTTCATAAGGCCTTCTATATGGCATAGTTATGGGCCTCAATGCTTATACTGGCTTAAAAGAAAGCTATTACCTGTAATGGAACTGTATGTCAAAAATAGCTACATCACCTCCAAAAGTTTTGTGACTCCTGATAAAACAATTTAGTAAAATTTGCCCCATTGTTAAAAATCACAAGGACGGGACACACACACACACACACACACACACACACACACACACACACACACACACACACAGGATGACACTGTCTTCGTATAACATCGACATTTCTTACATTGTTTTCATGAAGAGGATACTTGCCAGTCTCAGGTTTACTCCACTACAGAAAGGGTATCTTTTGAATACACACATCAGAAACAGTATTACTTTAGCATGCCTATGTGCTGTAACCCTTCTCTCTATTCAGATTTGTCTCTTCTACTAAGAATCAAATCACTATTATTTACATAAAAACAAAAATTATATGTACTGGGCTAGGGAAATAGCTAAGCAGAATGCTTGTGTTACATGCAAAAGGCCCTGGATTTTATCCCCAGTACCATAAAAAAAATTTTAATTATACATATTATAGAGTACCATGTGACATTTAATATATGTATACATTATATAATATTTTCATTAGGTTAAACATATACTTAAATATCAATCATTTCATTAAGGCAAAACCTTGAAACGCCTTTTTTTTCTAGATTTCTGTGAGTTTTTTTGGTGTTCCTGTGTTTTCAAAAAGAACATCCCATTATGTTGCTCAGTCTGGTCTTGAATTTCTGAGCTCAAACAATACTCTTGCTTCTACCTAACATATCACTGGAACTACAGGTCCCACTACCACACTGGATACCTCGAGCTGTTTAATGTAAAGTATCAGATTGTTATCTACAGTCACCCTAACCAGGCAACAGCAGACAGAGCAGAAGTTCCTGTTCCCTAACTTAGTACCCAGTAATTAACTTTTTCCCAACTTCTAATAACCCCTACTCTACTCATAATTTCTATGGATTAACTTGTTCAGGACAGTCATTTCAACATTTATTTACCCATTGTAAACTGACATCCATTACCATGTTCCTATAATTTTCTCTGAAGCAGTATTACCTGTGAATCGGTACTCCGTGAAAAAACAGCATGCCATTTAAAGAAAACATGTTTCAGTTAGATATGGTCTAAGAATGAAATTCTAAGCTTGGCAATATATATTGATGGCATCAACTAAACATTAAGAAAACTTACTATAAGTAAAAAAAAATAACATCCCAAAATAACTCTCACCGTGACAAAGGAAACTGCAGCAGGGTCCTGGTACTGAACCAATAATGTCTCTACTGGGAGTTGTATTTTGGGGCGGCTTTTTATACGTTTGTTCAGATGGACCAGCAGTTCCATTACCTAAAGCAAAGACAGAAAAACTGAAGTTACCAATCATATCTTAAAAATAAATTAATTTCTTAGACATTACTCATTTTACTGAAAAATAGCTACTTCATTCTTTTAAGGACTATAAAATTGGTATCTTAGAAAGGTATGTATCAGAACCAGAAACACAGTATCTGAATTTTGCAAGATACTAAGAATATAAAATGTAAGATTCTACTGTTTCTAGATATGCTTGGTCTGTCAAATGAAGAAGTACTTCTCATACTGAGTTCTGGGGATCAGATGAATTTCAAGCAGAAAATCAGTTTTAAAAAGGAACAAGGGTATAAAAGAATATAGCAAATTATATCCGGCTGAAGCCCAGAATGGTAAGAATTCATAAAAGCAGGGTCTGGATTATAATAGAATTCAACAAAGCACTGAAGTATATTTACTTTATCCTGAAAATCATCTGATGCCATCAAAGAATTCAAGTAAAAGCTGGGTGATAGTGGTGCACAACTTTAATCCCAGCATTCAGGAGGCAGAATCAGGCAGATCTCTACGAGTTGGAGGCCAGCCTGGTCTAGAGTGAATTCCAGGACAGCCAAGGCCATACATAGAGAAACCCTGTCTGAAAAAAAAAAAAAAACAAACAAAAAAAGATTTAAAGTAAAAAATAACAACCTTCCTCCTTTCCTATTAGTGGGAAAGGAACAAAGTGGAAATTAACACATCAACAATTCCTATGGAAAGAAAGGAAAATATACAAGTTTATGATAAATAGCCTTGGTCTTACTCCAATATATTATGTACTAAGAAAGAAGAAAACTCAATTGTTTGTTTTTAATCTCACCTAAGATTGAACATTTTAATTATTCTGGAGGGCTGCACCTATATTATTTCTAGAATCTGCACTGAAGCCTCAAAGCACATGTTAGTGAAAACTGCAGTTTGGATGACTAAGTATAGTGTTGACATGAATATATTTAGACATGCCCTTTGAAAGACATATGTGCTTATTTTTGTTTGGTATAAATACAAGACTAGAAGTGTTTGGTCACGAGGTTATTATGCACATGTCCAGTTTAAGCAGATACTTCCAAGTAGTTTCTGAAATGATAATAATTTATACTCCTGCCAGGAGAATACAAGAGCTGAAGTTGTTTCACAGCCCTGCTACTTACATCAGATATGGTCAGGTATTAGCTTTTTGCTATTCTGATAACACTGAACCAAAAAAGTTAACTATAACAGAATTCTACTTAGCAACCAGGTGACTGTAACTAGCAAGGGGGAGGTCTTTTGCTCTACCCCTTGGCATTGTTATAAACAGACCTTTGGAATGAAGTTCTGGGCCCGTGGATATGGATCCAGGCCCACCTGAGTCTATCCTGTGTTTTCTCTCTGTTCTCTCTCCTCACTATTTCTAACTAAGTCTCTTATTCCTCAATCCTGAAGAGTTCCTGGGGTAAATAAGTGTGAGGGCTGGTTCCCCCACACAAGCCACATGATTAAATGAAAAGATATGTCAAAGAGTAGCATGATGTTAAAGTATACCAGCTTTAAGTATCATTTCCTTTCTCCCAGGAGTTTTCAAGTTTGCTTAACAGCAAATCATTTTGCCAATAAATACATATATAACATACTATAATTACTAATACAATGTTAAATTTGTACATCAAAATGCATCAAGCCAAAATACTGAACAAGAAAACTGCAACTGCAGAAAATTGTAATCCATGACTATCAATATACAAGACTAGAAGACAGATTCTCAAAACATAACTGTACAGTGTCATCAGAAAACAGCCTCAGGACATACTGAGCTCCACATTGCACAAACAAGAATTTCTTTTTTTTTTTTTTTTTCAATCTTATGAAGGACTTTTCTCAGAAGCACAGAATACACTTTAGGACTGGAGATGAGGCTCAGTGGTAGAACACATACTTCTCATGCACAAAAGCCTGGGTGGTAGCCATCCAAAGCATGACCAAAGAAAAATCTAAATGTAACTGTCAGGTTCAATGCAGAAGAAATAAAACAAGGGAAATTTTGCATCAAATACTTCAAAATAAAAACAATGTTCTTATTAATAGTTAAGTCAAAAATAAAAGCAAACACTGCATGTCAGTGTAACTATAAGATACAACCAGAATAGCAAAGACAACTTCAAAAACAGGTTTTTATTCATTCTGAGCATTCTCGAAAACATAATTAATAAAAAAAAATTATTTGGTGACCAAGCTTGTATTTGAAACTTTAAATCCTGGCTCACCTATTCATTATTTGGTCTTTTAATAATTTATTAATTGTCAGGAGTGATGGAGCATGCCTTAAATCCTAGCACACAGGATACTGAGGCAGAATCTATCTAAAATAAAATTAAATAAGTAAACATATAAGCAAATAAAAATAAAAGTTCATTAATCATTCTAAATTTAGTTTCGTCTGTAAAATGTGAAAAAGAACTACTTCACATTACCTTGTAAACCTAGCACTTTTCTTAACACATAATAATCATTATTACACTATCATATAAATAAAAGTCTTATGAGAAAAAGAAAAATAATTTGAGTAAAATAGAAATAATGCAATTAACAAAAGTAAATAAATTTAAGTACTAGTTTGCCTTTTAAAACAGCTTATACCTAAGAAAAATTAAACCTAAGCTAGTGGTATGGCTGAGTAGTATATTAATTGTCAAGCATGTAGAAAGCACTGGGGTAGAGGCCAGCACAATAAATGAATGAATGAATGAATGAATGAATGAGCAAGCAAACAAACAAACAAATACTATAATTTTGATAATAGTGACCAATAAAACTAGAGCTAAGAGCTAAGAAGACAGCACAATCAGTAAAGTGCTGGCTATGCAGACCCAAGTTCAACCCCACAGAATCCATGGTTTTTTGTTTTTGGTTTTTTGGGACAGGATTTCACTGTATAACAGCTTTGGCTGTCCTGGATCTCGCTCTGTAGACCAGGCTGGCCTCAAACTCGAGATTTGCCTGCCTCTTCTTCCTGAGTACTGGGATTAAAGGTGAACACCGCCACCCAGCCAGTCAGAATCCATGTTTTAAAAAAGAAAAAAAGCTGGACATGATGCCACATATACCTGCAGTAGAGAAATGAAGCCATTAGGGTTCCTGGGGCTCACTGGCCAACTAGTCAAGCCAAATCAGTGAGGTCCCAGTGTTATAAGAGATCCTGACTCAAGGAAAAAGTGGAGGGGCTGGAAAGATGGCACAGGGGTTAAGAGCACTGGCTGCTCTTTGAGAGGACCCAGATTCAATTCCCAGCACCCACATGGTGTCTCACAACCATCTGTAACTAGTTCCAGGGGATCTGGTTGCCTTCTTCTGCCCTCAGTGGGCACCAGGCATCCACTGGTACACAGACATCCATGCAGCAAAATAAAAATTTAAAAAAATCTTGTAAACATATTTAAAATATGGAATTCAACAGAGAAAGCTACCCAACATCAGTCTCTAGCCTTTACATGTGTATAGTGACATGCACATACAAACATGTACATACACACAAAAACATACAAAAAGAACCCTGGAAAACAGAAATGAAATTTCTCCATTTGGAAGGGTAATAGGATAAATAGTATAAGAGAAGTGAATGATACACCTCAAATTTAAAACATATAATTAAAGATGGATGATTTTTTTAAAAAAAGGATAAAATACAAAGAAACTATATTAAGTAAACAGTTTGTTTTTAATCTACTAAAAATACTCAGCCTAATCTAACACAATGGTTTCTTTGGCTACTTCCTGAACTCCACTTTCAGCTTCCAGTCTAAAGAGCTTCAGCAGCTAAATAAGATATCACTACCACCCTTTCAAATCAGTGCTCTAAAACCCTGTTTCCTCCTAGCACTCATCCTTATCCACTGAGGAAATCTCTGTGGCCTTCTTTAGTTTACCAAAGGCATCAGTCAGTTAAGACCCACCGTCTCTTAACCGGGTGGATCTCTCTTCTTGCTTACCAAAATGCCTCCCATCCATCCATCCTCAGTCCTAACCACATACTCATTTATGTTCTTCCATCTACTCCTGTCTTTTTCTCTCTCTTAACAAATGTAAAGTGTGCCCCATGAGCCCATGTATTTAATTACTTGGTACCCAGCTGGTGGTGCTGTTTGGAAAGGAAAACCTTTTTAGGCAATAAAATCTCACTGGATAAGTTGGTCAGCGGGGAGGAGGTATTCTGGTTTTATAGCCGGGCCTCACCTTCCACCCATTCTCTGCTCATTGAGTGAATACATGACCAATTGCCTTCATATTCTTACTATCTAATCATCCTTTCTTAAACTGGAGCCAAAATAAATTCTTCCTTCCTTAAGTAGCTTGTTAGGTATCTTGTCTCAGCAACAGAGAAAAGTAACAAATATAGCATGTATCATAAGGCATACAGAAAACCTTCAGTAAATAACCAGACTAATAACACAAAGTAAACAGACGTCAATTTGTAAAAGACCTTTGATACCCTGAGAGCAAGAAAAGTCCACGGAAGAGTCTTAAATAGGAGACTGATATGACCAAACCGAGTCTACCTCAGCAAATAAGGATTAACAGCAGACAAAGATTAACAAATATATGTATGGCAAGACTGTCCATCCTTTCCTACAACAAACAAAACAGACATTCTGGGAGATACTCTTCCCACTGAACTCAAATCAGGCCTCTTAGGGCAGACATTCAAGTCAATGTCAATCAATTATAATATCCCATGAGATGACCGCTCAAAGACCAAAAGGTCTATCACAAATATACTGGAAAAAATAATTAACTATACACTACAAATTAAAGGAGAAAGTGTTCCACATAGAACAATTTAAAAATAAAATAGTGATAGAGTTAAGTACTTTTGTGAAATAGTATTTTGTAGTGTAAGTTATATAAGAATAGTTTGCTTTCAAAAAATTTATTTGCAGCTGGATGGTGGTGGCGTACACCTTTAATCCCAGCACTCAAGAGGCAGAGGCAGGTGGATCTCTGTGAGATCAAGGCCAGCCTGGTCTATAGACTGAGTCCAGGACAGGTTCCAAAGTTACACAGAGAAACCCTGTCTTGAAAAAAAAAAAAAAAAATTGGCTGGGCGGTGGTGGCACACGCCTTTAATCCCAGCACTCGGTAGGCAGAGGCAGGCGGATTTCTGTGAGTTCGAGGCCAGCCTGGTCTCCAAAGCGAGTTCCAGGAAAGGCGCAAAGCTACACAGAGAAACCCGTCTCGAAAAACCAAAAAAAAGGAAAAAAGAAAAATGTATTTGCTTGCCTTTACTACCTTTATTTAAGGATATATTCACCATCAACCAATGATTAAAGAACATTTCCCCTTTCTACACTGGCTTTCATATTCAGTTTTAGAGGAGTCCAGATAATTATATCAATTAAATCCCCTGGCACTGATCACAAGCACACAATGGGTAGTGAAGGCAGCTATACCAGGCAATTAAGCTTTTTTTCCATCATGAAAGCTGGGTCTTAGACTTACCATACATTTGGAAAAGCTGTAATTAGGATCATGTTGAACCTACATTTCAACAATAGGAATTAAAAAACTCACTTCACAATATATATCCACTTATTCACCATTTATTTCCCAAACGGCCCCCAACGTGCTTACCTTTTTCCGTACTCCTTCTTGGGTGCTGGACAGTTTGAGCAAAACAGGAGGAAGGAATTTAGATATAATATTTTGTAATTGTTCATCTGTTTCAGCATGGCCAAGTCGTAAAAAGACCCGTTCGAGCTGATCTATAATACAGAAAGCAAACAAAAGGGAACTTGACAAACCATGCACAGCCAAGCCTATCTTCATAACATAAGCCTACTTTCTGTACTGCAGATCCTTCAGTCAGAACTTCAGTCAGACTAGCCCACAGACAAACGACTCTGACACCACCAGGAAGTGCTGCTTTAAAAGGTCTAATCAGCCAATCATATGTTGCTACCTTACAACTGTCTTTGGCCAAGAGTAGTAAAATTCCTTCCTACACACCAAGTTACTTGGTCTTTCTGAAGGACTTAGTTATTAAGAAAGGATACAAGATTTTTTTAAAGAATCTTCTAAACCTGGCTAGTACAACACAACAGAGGAATTTTAACTAGATGTCAGGGACAACCTAACTGATGAGGTTTCCCACAGCAAAGCTACAGTGAACACAATGTCGGACAAGACCATGGAGGTATGTTCAGCAAAATTATTAAACAAACCACTGTGTATCTTTGACCAGTGTACTATAGGGCAGAGGAGAAGGTAATGGAGAGGGAACTCATACAAGCGCCAAATATCTAGCTTCAAATTACTGTCAACTTTTTAGGTACTAGGCATTTATGAGGCCATAGGTCTGATCCTCATGATTGGGGAAAAAAATGATGCTGTAATGAGGTATCTGTTCCTCAAAGGCTCTTATAAAAACTATCAGTGGCACTAAACACAGTGATGCCTAACTATAACCCCAGCATTTAGAAGGCTGAGGCAAGAGGATCACTTGTGGTGATATTTTATTTGTGCTGAAATGTGATATTTTATTTGTGTGTTAATAAATAAAGCTTGCCTGGAGATGGGGGGGGGCAGCCATTTTAAGTAAACAAAGAAGTCAGGCAGCACAGGCCCTTAGTCCCTTAGCAGGCAGGATCTCTGCATGTTCAAGGCTACACTAGGGAACAGAGCCAAGTGTGGTAACACACACCTTTAATCCCAGTACCAACCATAGAGACCTGAGGTCTGTACAGACAGAAAGTGACAGAGCTGTGTAGGAAGAGGAAGTGAGGTAGCTGGGCTAAGAGCCAATGAGAGGGCAGAAAAGCAAGGCATATAAAAGCTGGGTAGACAGGAAGTTGCAGAGTTTGTGAGGTAAGGTTGGCTGGTGGCTTTCCATATTTCCCTGATCTCTCTAAGGCTTTAACCCAAATTTCTGGCTCTTTATTTAATAAGACCATTTGGAAATTCAGCTACAATCACTCTAAGTTTAAAGCCATCCTGTTCTGCATAGCAAGAGAGTGTCTCAAAAAGGGAGTGGGGATAGCTCAGCAAGTAAAGCTCTTACTGTGCAAGCACAAAGATCTGAGTTCAAATACACAGCCCTCAGGTAAGCACCTGATATAGTCACATGCGTACCTATAACCCTAGCACTGTGATTAGGCAGACACACGAGGATCGCTGGACCTTAACTGACCACCAGCCTAACTCCAGGTTCAATACACAGGAGTAAGCCTGCCTCGGTGTGAATAAGGTGTAGAATAATAGAGCAAGACATTCAAAACTTCCTCTGGCCTCGCTGTGTATGAGGACACACATCTGCACACACATGGGCATACACACCACACACCACAAACACAAACATCACACATCACTTGTAAAAAAAAAAATTATCAGTGGCAATGAACTGAAAATGTTTTATATCTTGATCTTAGCATAATGCCGACTATACCTCAATTTAAGAATATATTTTAAAAGTCTTCACTATGTATTGATAAAAACAAAAACATTTTCAGGTAAACTAATAGTTACTGAAATTTACTTCAAATAATAAGTAGAATATTACCCAATAGACAAGTGTCAGAAGTCATATAAATGAAACTCAGACTACTCACTGATAATTAGCCAAGTTTTATAACAGATACTAAGAATTACTTTTTTGTTTGCCTCAAATATTCTCTCTGTGAAGGAGGGCAGGTACATCTATCAGTCAAGTAAGCCCTAAAAGGACAAGAGGCAGCAAAACCCTAGTAGAGTTAGAACCTTCCACATTCAGTGAAGAGGGATCATTGTACAATTAATCAGGTCATTTAGAGACACTATATACTTTTAAGTAAAAGCTAATCAAACTGGGTGTAGCTAACACATTCCTATAATCCCAGCACGCTGAAGGCTGAGTCAAGAGGCTAAAGAAGTTCAAGGCCACCCTACCCTACATAGCAAGAGAGGAGTAGGGGTACACAGAGATGGCTCAGAGGGTAAAGGAAGGTGCTTGCTGCCAAGCCTGACAACCTGAGTCGATTCCCAGGATCACAAAGTGGAAGGAGATAATTCCTGCAAGTTGTCTTCTGACCTCCATACACATGATATGATGCATACATCCCTAAACACACACACACACACACACACACACACACACACACACACACACACCCATACACACACACCTAGGATCTGCACATAAGGGAGACCATCCAGGTATTTTTCTTCCTAAGATTGTGACCTCTCTTGCACTTTTATCCATCCACATGGTATAACTGGAGGGGAGGAGGTGGGGAGGAAGGAACCTCAACATTTGAAAACCTCTCAATTGTGAACTTCCAGCTTTCAGGAACAACAGAAATATTGGGCTGGGTGGGTGGGTGTGGATCCATTGGTAGAAAGCTCAGTATCATATTAAACTAAACACATGGTGGCACTTAGGAGGTGTCAGCAAGAAGATTTTAATTTCAAGGGCATCATTGGCTACATAACAAGTTCAAGGCTAGCCTAGGATAGAATACATGTGGCTCTGTCTCCAAGAATAAGGAGGAAAAAACAAGAAAATGAAAGGAATTTCTTTTCATTATAAATTATCTAGTCTTAAGTATTGTTATAGCAACAAAAATAGATAAATATCTCAAAAGGACCTTTTCAAAAACAAGAAGAGATAAGACCATTATGTTCTGAAGAATCAAAGGTAATCTAACCCTCACATCCATCTTTCTTAAGCTTAAGCTGTTAGTTGTAGGAATTGATATTCTCCAAATCATTGTAGTAAGTTCTAATAGATGGAAAACAGAATTTGAGACAAGAACAAGTTCTCTCATAATTTTCTTATTTTTCTATTCAAACTCATATTGTTTCACTTATGAGACTTAATATTTCCTTTAAATAATCAGTTAAGTGTGGGGGGAGGAGGGAGGGAGGGAGAGAGTTCATGCATACATGAGAAAAAGAGATGATTAATATGATCAACTTAACAGGACCTAGAATCACCTGAGAGACAAAGGTCTGGGCAAGTCAATAAAGGAGCTTCTAAATTCAGTTAAGTGGGTTAAAAGACTCACCCTAAGTACAAGGCTACCATTCCATGGACTGAGGTCCCAAATTGGAAAAAAAAAAAAAAAAAAAAAAAAAAGAACAAAGTGAGTTAAATATAAACCACTGACTTCTGCTTCCCAACTGTATGTAGGTGCAGTGTGACCAGCTGCCTCAAATTCCTGTGTGCCTTCTTCCTCCATTAAGTTGCTTTTGTTAGGCATTTTATTATAGCAACAGGAAAAGTAACTGATTCGGAAGGAGGGAGAGAGAGAGAAGGAGGGAGAGAGGGAGGGAGGGAGGGAGGGAGGGAGAGAGAGAGGGAGAGAGGGAGAGAGGGAGAGGGAGAGAGAGAGAGAGAGAGAGGTGTATGCATATGCAGGCCCACATGGGTGTGGAGGCTAGAGGTCAATAACAGGTTCTCCATTTCATTTTTTGAGACAAAGTCTCTCACTGAGTCTGAAGCTCACCAAATTCAGCAAAGCAAGCTGATCAGCAAACCCCAGAGATCCTCCTGTGTCAGCCCAGCAGTGTGATTGCAGCTACATGCCACCCTCTGGCTTGTATGTGGGTGCTGGGGATCTATCTCAGGCCTTCATGTCTGTACAGCAAGCACTTCACTAATGCAGGTTCACATCTCCCCAGTCCAAACACAGGAAACGTATTTTAACTGCTGTTTTTTTTAATCATATACTAACTTACACAACCTCAATACTGAAACACAACATATATTAATTCATACTTTGCATTTCTTGTGTGTGTGTGTGTGTATGTGTGTGTGTGTTGTTTTGTTTTTGAGACAGGGTCTCCCTAAAGGTGTGTGCCACCACATCCAGCCTGCTTTTCCTCTTTTAATTAACATCTCTTATTTTAGACCTTTGGAGTGATATATCTCAGAACTTTTTTTTTCTTCAGATTTTACAAAGACAACACATAAGATATGTACCTCAAAACTCACAATACACCTAAGCAAACTGAAATTGCAATCCTCCAGTCTCAGTTTCCTAAGTACAGGGATTATAGGTACGCAAGCCCATGTGATTTTTAAAAGTATTTTTTATTTTATTTATTATTATTATTATTGTGTGTGAGAGTGAGAGAGACAGAGACAGAGAGATATAGACAGAGAGAGAGGGGAGGGAAGGAAGGAGAAAGGGAGGGTAGGGGAGAGGGGAAGATGGGGTGAAGATAGAGAGGGAAAGCATGGATGTTCTACAGTGCAAGTGCAGAGGTCAGAGAACAACTGTGTGGAGTCACCTGTATGTGGGTTCTGGTGATCAAACTTCTATCATCAGACTTGTATAGAAGCTTAATTCACGGCAAGTTTACCCTCTAAGCCATCTTGATGGCCCTCATAAGAGCTTTTACCTATTTTACATATTTGGCAAGTAACTCCCACTTTTCCCCCAAATGGTAATTTTTTTTCCAGTTTCCCTTCTGTAGAACTTTTTTCTTTTCCAGATCTGTTTTTAAATGCAGTTCAGTTTATTATTGCTTCACTTTGTGGCCTTTTATTCTTCTCGCCGTGCTTAGAATGTTTTTATCATGCCAAGATGACTGTTTTAAAAATTATGACGTATAGAAAAACAATTAACAGCCTGGGGAGATCTCAGTGGTTAAAAACACTGGCTGCTCTTCCAGAGGTCCTGAGTTCAATTCCCAGCACCCACAGGGTGACTCATAATCATCTGTAATATACCCTCTTGTCATTCAGGTATACGTGCAAATAGAGTACTCATATACATAAATAAAA